GTTTGTCTTTATGTGGATGACATGGTTATCATTAGAAGCAGTCAAAACATGATCAAATCAACTAAGCAAATGCTTAACAAAAGATTTGATATGAAAGATATGGGGGTCGCAGATGTTATATTAGGAATGAAAATTACTAAAACATCTGACAGATATGCATGATCTCAATCTCATTGTATTGAGAAAATTCTTGATAAATTTATCAAGTATAAATTGAATGTAGCTAGAACACCTGTATACATCAGTCTTTATTTATCGAAAAATAAAGGTGATGCAGTGTCTCAGTTAAAATACTCTCAAATCATTGGAAGCCTAATGTACCTAATGAATTGTACTCGTCTTGACATAGCTTATGCAGTCATTAAATTGAGTAGGTACACTAGTAATCTCAGAGAAGACCATTGGAAAACGATCATTTGGGTTCTTAGATATCTAAGATTTACCCGTGATCATGGTTTGAACTGTACTCAATATCCAGCAGTACTCGAAGGTTATTGTGATGCAAATTGGATATCGGAAACTAAAGATTTAAAATCCACTAGTGGATATGTCTTTACTCTAAGAGGCACTGCTGTTTCTTGGAAATCCACAAAACAAATATCCATTGCACGATCCACAATGGAATCTGAGTTCATTGCTTTAGACAAAGCAGAAGAAGAAGCAGAATAGCTTCGTCACTTCTTAGAAGACATTCCAATGTGGCCAAAACCTGTGCCAGCTATTTACATTCATTGTGATAGTCAATCTGCAATAGGCAGGGCACAGAATTATATGTATAATGGTAAGTCACGACACATTCGTCGTCGACATAATACCGTAAGGCAATTGCTCTCAAATGGAATAATCTCAATAGATTATATAAAATCTAAAGAGAATATTGTGGATCCGTTAACAAAAGCTTTGACAAAAGAGCAGGTGTATAGTTCATCGAAGGGGATGAGATTAAAGCCTATTACATAAGAGTCATCATAATGGTAACCCTACTTATATGACTGGAGATTCCAAGAACTAAGTTCACAGGGACAACTAAGTTATGTATGTCTCACCAGAAATCACCAAGGGATTAAAATTCCTTACCCATTCCTATGGTAAGAGTGATATCTGCAACATGTGTTGTTTGTAGGGGTATAAGGATAAGCTTTGCTTTTAATGATTACTTATATCTTGATTAAGGCATAAAATCAAGACGAGTATAAAGAGATACTCACAATAAGAATCACCTATATGAGTGTAGAACTGCGGCTGGTTCTATGAGAATGAAGAGGCTAAATTCTCTAGAAGCACTCATGAAAACCAAGAGCGTTCAAGGCCAAAATGAACACAACAGTGAGAACCACGATGTGTTAGAAGATATTTTGTGTGAAATCTATTGTCTTGGCTTACACAAACGGCTGAACAATTCAAGGCATCGCGTCCATTGGTTAGCTAGTAAGTCCGATAGGTTATCACTAAGGAAGGTTCAAGGCCGAAAGCTACCTATCCTGATGCAAGATATTTTCGATTTATACTCTTTTGACAAATTCTGCATATTGTTGCATTTCCGTTGTCATCAAATTCCATTCATGTGGAGGATTGTTAGAAATGGTTTGGAAATTCTAGGTAAAAACAAAAAATTTTCATAACTTTGGTCTATTGTTTAGGTGGGACCTGTATACCAAAATTGGCGGGTCTAAGTGGTAACGCGTTTTATGCCGCGTTGTGAATCACGTGGCATATTTGGTTGCTTAAAACCATTATCGGTTGAATGGGAAATTGAAGCCAAAGTGTGCTCCATGGAAATGGAGTTTTGGTGGAAAATTCTTAAGGTTTGAAAAAATGGCTTGTCCCACATTGATTTGGTGGGAAGTTTTGAGTGGGTTTATAAGGCATGGGATTGGAACTTGGGGTGTGCCCTAAGGGGTATCCAAGTTTTGTAGAGAGAAAGGTTATGGGCAAAATGGGCTACACCCATTGGACCTAAAAATACCTACATGCGCGCGCGTGCCGCCGTCGCCTTTCCGGTCGGTTGGTCGGTCGGGCTGGGCTTGAGCACGGGTGCGTGGTGTGAGGTTGGGTTGGGCTTGTCCGGCCCAATACTAATCTTTTTGGGCAAAAAACATTTGAATTCAATTTTAGTTTTTGGTAAAATAAAATTTGTCCAATTTAAATTTCAATTTTTTGAATTCAAAATTGGGTCCGTTTTTCTCCCACCCGAACAGAATTGAATTTGTTTAAAATTCAGAAAACCCAGACAGATTTAAATCTGGGCAAAACAGTTTTATTTGTTTGAATTTTGAACCCAACAGATTTAAATCTGTTCATTCAAAACCAAACAGGTTTCATACCTGTTCAGAACAGGTTTGCACCTGTTTAACTCAAAACTAGCAGCCACTAATCCATCTATAAATAGGCAGCCTTCATTTGATGTTTCATTCACTATTTTCGTCCCAAATAATTCTGCTATTATTCTCTTTATATTGCTGCATTAGTTTTCTGTGAGAAAGAGTATATACACTTAGTGTGTTCGTTGTATGAATAAATTGTAGTGCTGCATTTATTCGTTGATTGATCATTTTATCCCGGGAGATAGACATCCGTATTCTGAAAGCATCGTGGAGAGGACGGATCTGTCTTAAGGACACAGTGTCGAACATTGGACTTGATCAGAATATCATTCAAGAAATTAATCAAGTAAGTTGGTTATTTATTTTCTGTTTTATTTTATTTTATTTAAATCAGATTTTGATTTTGTTTCTGTAACAAAATAAAAATTTGTTATTTATTTATTTTATTTTATTTTTCTAGTTTGATTTTTGTAATCAAACAAATTCTCTCATTTCCTTTATTTCTTATTTATTTTGTTTGTTGTTAACTACACAACATAATTTATTTTTCAAATACAGTGAAGATTGTCCAACAATATATATGTGCGGTGCTCAAGTGGTAAATGTATTATTTACCAGACTTAAGATTTTAATTTAAAGACTCATCGTTTTCTTTTATACAGTTGTGTATTTTTAATAGAGAAAGTGAAATTAACTCTGAATAGTTAATTATTCATTCGACTTGATTCAATAAACTTAAAACTATATAAAAATATCAAACTACTTAAACTCAACTCAATAAAAACTAATTTGAGATTAATTCAAAAGAATTAATATGAACAAATTTTAAAATTCTTTAAAATTTTCAACTAAATTTTTGAGTCGTTTATCTTCTAATTATAAGAATAAAGATTGGTAGCTCGAATCGAGCTTGCCTGAATGGTCTGAATTTGTGCTTACCGGTCAACCAACCAGCCAATTACCTAGACAATTGGTGCAACACTTGCCTACTGTGATTGTCACCTTGTCGACTGTGACTGTCGGCCTTCTTGCCAGATGCCGGTCGATAGGAAAGCTAAGGTAGCGTTTGGTAGAGTTTTGGATTTATGATTTGAGAATAAAGTTATATTTTGAGTTTGTGAGTTTTGAAATTATGATTTGAGTGTGAAAATTTTTTGGTTATGAGTTTTGAAAAGAAATTTGAATTGAGTTTGAGATTTTTGATGTGACATATGATATTTGATTAAAAAATATACTACTCAAACACACAACTCAAAATTATATTCAAAGCTCATAAAATATTTAAAAAAATTATGAAAATATTTTTTATTTAAAATATAAAAAATAACAGGTGGTAATTGCAACAAAAAAAAAACAAACAAACAAATAATGTTTCAGTCAACTGGCAGACGATTGAGTAGGCCAAATTTCAAAATTTAAAACTCTACGTAGAACAAATTTTTAAAAATGAGTGTAATATTAATTTTTTAAAATAATATCCAAATATCGCACTCAAATATGAGTATGAAATCATGATTAAAAATCCATGCTTTTTAAAAATAAATGTGATATTAATTTTTAAAAATTATATCCAAATATCTCACTCAAATATGAGTATGGAATCATGATTAAAACTCCATGCAAAGCCAGCCTAAAATTCAAGACATGCGGGCAAAATGAAATTCACGCTGCGTAGCAGCCTTCTAGTGACAATTAAAGATGTACATGGTCGGATTTTATCAGGATTAAGAGAGAATTTAACAGCAAATCGATCTTAAAAGAGCCTTGGTGAAAAAATTATTTGTTAGTTTCAGGACATCATGTGGGTAAACTTCTGACCAATAACAATCTATCATATCTTTTATATTCTTCAACCACCAAATGGTCTTGTTTGGAAAGTGGCTATTTTAGTAGGTAATTTTAATTTTTAGCTATTTCAGTAGGCTAAAATTTTTGTGTTTGGGAAGATGATTGGATTTTTTTGTGGTTGGATGTGATGTTTGTGAGAGGAAAAGTGAAATGATTATGAGTTTGATGTGATATTTTGTCTTATTAGCTATTTTAGCCTATTTTGTCTTTTTGTGATTTTTAACCTAAACTAAGCTATTTTTTTTCTTCCCAAACACCCCCATAAAATCGTGAATATCACTATTTTCATCAATCAAAACACACATAAAGCATCATGTGGTACACCAGTACCACCAAATAATTTCTCTCTCCAATGACTCGTTTGGTGGGACCCGTGGCGTTTCTTTACTCGCACTCAAAGCCCCAACCCGAAAAGTGACAAAGCAGTACAAGGCGGGAATACAGTTCCAAAATTTGTGTTATTTTGTGTGCTCAAAAATCACAAATAAAAACAGTTAAAAAAAAAAATCATAGATAAAAAAATCAAAATTTGGAGTTTGTTTGAAATACACAGTCATATTTTTATCATATTATGGCCAAGTTTGGCATTCTCTATATAATTCATTTTTTTATTTTTTTTTTATCACATCTCTTCTCTATTTTTTTGCACATCTTTTCGTAAAAAAATAAAAAGTATACTTATTTAAATCATTCCAAACAATCCCGATATTTTTTTTTTAAATTATCAAAAAATATTTTCATTTAAATAATTCCAAACAAGTCATAAATTTTTAAAAAACACAAAAAAACAAAACCCCCCATGCCCACACCAACTCTCACGTCCATTTCCATTTCCATTTTTCCGTAACCATATCATATGAAAATGGGCTGTCATCATCACAGCTTTCCCATATAAAATTTCGGATTTTTGTTTTCAAAAAACAGAGAAAACACTTTCAATACATAAGCATTGCGGTTAGGTGGATCGATCTGGAGCTCAAAGCCTCCCATTTTCTCTCGATCTGAAAACCTCCAACAGGGCTTTGGCTTCTCACGATCTCAAATCTCTCTGCGCCCCCCACCAACAGGTTCGTCATTTCCAACCCACATTTCGTTTCTGCAGAAAAATCTAGGGTTTCTTGTGGATCTGTTTAGATTTCATTTACATGGATTTTGGTTTTGATGCCCTGAATTCGCAAATGTGCTATGTTTTTTCAAATTATACGTACCAATTTGCTTCCATTGAAAATTGGTGTGTTTATACTCAATAGGGTAGCTGAATTTTTGATTGTCTTTAAAGGGTTCACATTGTAATCTTTTTCAATGTTCATTTATTGTCTAGATTTTGAAGTGGTTTAAATGAGGGTGCTTTCTTAGCTGTTTAGGTAATTGGCATTAAGTTTCTATTCCGGTCGAGCTTTTTTATTATCTTTAATTTGCATAAAAAAGAGGTTTGCAAACTATAAGCAATGCGTGAGCTGGAAGTTCTATTTCTGCTCAATTAAGGAAATGATTCCAATTTCTCTTCCAAGTTTTCCATGCGGTTATCCTATGCCATGAATTTTCCTGCGAAATAGACATGCATTATAGATAGTGTTAGAAATGAGGCAGTGATATTGGGAATGTAGAGCACCATTAAAAATAAATAAAAAAACTCGTTCCGGTTTATGATATCAAACCCTGACAGTTTGATAAGCATGGAATTTAATTAACCGACCCCATACCAGGTTACCAACTACTTCTTGTTACCCATTCAGCTGCAATTAGGCCTAGGGGCAGAACCGGTAAGGGTTGAGGATAATACCCTGAAAAAAATAATAATACTACTAATAGTATATGTTTTGGATAACATTTGTCCCTTTAGGAAAAATTTTTGAGCACCCTATGCACTACTTGTCATCCCTTGAACTTTTTTTTACACACCTTTGTGCCACTTTTTTTTTTTTTTTGAACACCATGACATCAGCTGTTGGTTTGAGCCCAATTAATCAAAGTTTTGAACGACTTTTGTTTAGCATAGTTGGTTCCATCCCCCCCCCCCCCCCCCCAAAAAAAAAAAAAAAAGAAAAAAAAAAAGAAAAAAGAGAGTAAAGTAGCTTGCATTCTCACTAACTTCCAAACCTGACTTTTTATTATTATTGTTTTTTTGTCTACGAAGTTAGCCCATTGTTCAAGAGTCTATGCTCTTCATTAGGAGGTTAGAATTCAATTTTGTCCACCAATGTGTCCTTTGTGTTTGTTTGAGGTCTGTCATGTTTGTTGTATTGTGTGTTGGACTTTTTTTTCCAAGTTTAGTATTTAGTTTGATGTAATTCTTATAATATTTGTAATTTATCTTCTATTGATTGACAAAAAATAATAAATAAATTTGTCTACCGTAACAAAAATTTATTGAGTACCACTGATTAGGCCTTACTTAAAAGTTGTTTTTCAGTGCCTAGAAGTATGTTTATTTCAACTTATCTTATAGCCATGGCATCAATTTGAGTTAGGTTACTCTTCTTTAATAGTGCATTATGGAATGCATGGAATTGAAGCTTGCATGAAGCGTGGTCCTTCATTTGATTCTTCTTTATGCCATAAATTGCATGTCGCTTGAGGAGTTTGCTTTTTTTATTTCATTAGTTGTACGTTCTTAGCCCAAGAAGCCCATGTATGGATTATGATAATGCTAAAGTAATATCTATATATGCATACAATGGCGGACTCAGGGGGCAGTCAGGGGCCATGATCCCCCCAAACTTCAGAAAAATATGATTAGTCATTGGCAAAATGTTTGGGTCTGCACTGCAAATATTTGTATATAAAAAGGAATCATATTTTTTAACACAATATGTTAGTATTCCGTCAATGCTCATTCTTAAATCAAGGTCTTGCTAAAAAAGAAAAAACTTAGAATAGGTATATGATATGCTTTTATTAATCATCCAGTTTTCTTATTTGAGTGATATATTAGATGAAAGGACGAACATAAATTTTGAGATATTTTGGCTCAAAAGGACTTTATCAAGACAGTACATAGCTTCTAGTCACTGGCTGCCAATTTTTATGTCAATTGAAAGCATAACCAAATCCCTATCTTGATTTTGGAATTGTAATCAAAATGCTTATTATGAGAGCACTATGCTTTATTAGTGAAACAGGTATTGTATTCATCATATCGGCTTTTATAATCAATATTTTGTTCTATTACAGTTTTGTTTATTTTCTTTTGCGGAGTCCATTATTTGACTGGTGATTTTTATTGGAATTATTTCTTTGTAGCACTGTGTCCTGTAATTGATTTGAGAGACTCAGTATCTATCAAGTTCTCCTGATGAATCCACATCTAGAAGTATATGCAAGTGAAAATGGGAAACCGAACAGTCTAAGTGAAGGTCATAATGGTGATGTTGCTGAAGAAACAGAAAATAAGTTTTATGAAGCATGCCAATTGAAGCAAGGATGTTATGCTGATCTTCCTGCAGCTAAGATTGCTGAACTGATGAAAGGGAATTTACGGGTAACTTCTTACGTTATTTTTTCTTATTGAGTGAATTTCATCTTACATAGGTTGTACATCTTATGTTATCACCCTTTTAATTTGATGCTGCTCTATAACTTTTTATCAAATGCTAACATGTTTTTTTAGCAATTTCTATATGCAGAACTCTTCAACTCAGTCGCTTTTCAAAGTTGTCAATAAGATTCTGGATGACAGCATTGAAAGAAAAAATGGAGATATACCTCATGTATGGCAATTGGAGGGTGCATGAATGCTATATCACTGGACAACACATATTTTCATATTGTCATTTTTTCCCCTTTCTTTGTTGGACCGAGTGTGCATATATTGAAATCTTAACTAGTGGTATGTTAATTTTCTCAGCGCATGGGATTTTTGTTGAAAAGAGTTGTTCAAGAGATTGAACAGCGGGTTTCGACCCAGGCAGAAAGTTTCAAAAAGGTAAAAGGAATTAGGAAATTATTTTATTTGGAGTATGATTTTGTTTACTGCTTCTGAATATTTTTGCAAGGTGCCCGCAGCAAAATAATCTTTACAAGGTTCTTGGAGAGAAGTATCAGTCAAGAATGAGAATACTTGAAACCCTTGCAACTGGAACATCCGAGGAAAATGAGGTACTCGGATGAATATTTGTGGATATTCATTTCTCACCTAAGCTTTTACTGCTGCTTTTTATTTACTAATTTAATTTTGAATATTTGGTATTATTTTTTGTAGGTTGTTATGAATCAGCTTCAGAAGATAAAGGTGCAATTCTTATGTCTGAGCCCAATATTTTATTAATGAATAATGAAGCATGTTTCTTCTTGTTGATTCTTAATTTTGGGTTGGTCCTTGGTCTGTTTTCTAGTAATGCAACCTGCATTGCTCATTTACTCTTATAATCTTATTGCACACACTTTTAGTAAATACTTTAAAGTAGTTCATTTTATTTGGCTTATTGAGGAGATTGCTAATTTTTATTGAGGGACTCTTTCCAATATCAATGAGTCTACAAATGGGGTCTGAACCAATCTGTTGAATTAAAGGTGGTTCACACATACATGTTTAGTGACGTGCTTGAATTTCTCTTGCATTATTCCTTATTATTGGTTTATTTTTTGATTAACAACAAAAAAGACATTTTATTAAAAAAGAGAAATGCAAGATGACAAGGAGTCTACCCAAAGAAAAGAAAAAGCAAATCAAAGTCTCAAACTACAAATCATACAACCCTCCAATCTCTAGAAATCAGAAAAATGGAACCCCTTTGATATTATTGGTGTCATGTGATTATACCTAGTTTTGTCCTATTTTTGTTCTAAGGGAACTGTTAATGCTAGGTTCTATTCGTTTTGGGTTTAGAATGAATAAAAGTTCAAAGGTCCCATTTATAGGGTTAGCACAAACATGAGAGTGGTGCCCAATGTTAAAATCAATCAAAGGATATCCACAAAAATCATCCAAGGACATAAAAGATCGTAATGGATTCTCCAAGGTGAAACTGCCAGTCAATTGAAAATTTCAACAAATTGAAATTAATGCTTAATATAAATTTGATGTATGCAAGTGTTAAGCAAGTTAATAACATAAGTAAAACATCCACAAATTGAATACATTTTTATGTGGAAACCCTGTCAAGGGGAAAAACCATGGTCACCTTGCTGGTCAAGATAATCCACTATATCAAAGAGTAAGATAGTCCACTATATCAACTGGTTGGATCTTCTGCACCATTAAAGCGAGGGAAGATAATCCACTATATCAAAGAGTAAGATAGTCCACTATATCAACTGGTGGGATCTTCTGCACCATTAAAGCGAGGGAAGTCTGACTTCACAAGCTTAGGTGTGTATGAGTTACCGGAGTTTGTGTGTTGGTGCCCACCATTGCCATTATTTCGCCCTCCATGAAATTGAATGGAAGCCTGCGAACAATCTTCTTTGCTGTCCTGAGTAGATTGAACTACTGTTTATTCTACACAAACAACAAGCTTATTAAACATTTCTTCCATTTGATTCTTGATATCAAGCTGAATGGTGGAAAACATCTCCATATCTTCCTCCATCAATTCCACTCATTGGTCCATCCCAGTGCTCTGATACCACTTTGGTATAGGTGGGCCACCTTTTGTTTTATATTTTTTGAATTCTTCAAGAAATTCTAGAGAAAACAGAGAAATTGTGTTGAATCGAGGTAATCTGGGCCTCTGATTGACACAACTATTTAAACACTCTGCCTCCATTATAGATGCTTTGTTTTATTTATACACATCAGCTTACACTCGAATGCTAATGGATAAGATCTAAGCAACCAACTTCACTCAAAAGACCATATATGTAGGACCTAACCCATAAAAATAGAACAACCAAACTAATTACTAGAAAATAGAAAAAGACAGAGCTAACAAAAAGGCGGCACGTAACAATTTTTTGCTCTGTTTTTCCTTGCTTGGGATTTCCAAGCATTTGACAACTCAAGGAACAAACTAAAACAAATTACATTGAACAAATTAAACAAAGTTTTGTCCACAGAAATATGGCAACAGAAATGCAATTAGCAGGACCATGTGGTCCCTCTACCCTCTTAAGTTCCTCAAAGTCTATTATGCCCTGACAGTCAAATATCTACCTTCAGAATAAATTGATAGTTGATATGTGTTCTGAGGGATATGATAAATTAACTAGTCATCCCTATTGATTTGGCACTATGCTGAGCCTCCATGTTTCTCCAAGTCCAAGATATGCATTGATTTGTTGACTAGTTTGTAAGACTTATTTTAGGTTTCATTTCCTTGGCATGATATTTGTCTTAAAGCTGTCCATTAATATGGCCAAAGAGGGAAGAAAGAAAGAAAACAGACCCTTGCAGTTAATCGTGATTTACTAGCACTTTTCTTGTTTCTAGAATTTTAAACAACCACTTCTCAATTTACTTGTTTTCAGACATCATAAATATGCATGCCAACACCTGTTGCATTAATCCTATAATTCGTGAGCAACTCTGATGTTACCATAAGCTGCTGGCTTTTGGTTTCTATATTCTGTTTGTTATTTTTCTAGGCAGGTAATTCTTGTAATTGTTACCGCTCAATAGATAAATGTTTCAGTAAAAAATGTTCCTGTTAGTTTCATGTGAGATACTCATTGTATTGCAGCTAATATTTGTTTACTTGCTTGGTGCAGATTGAGAAGACTGAAATTGAGGAAAATAAAAAACTTGAAGAGCAAGATGTAATTCAACTAGTTCAAGAGAAAGATCGTAGTGAAATTCAGATTTCTGCACTCAAACAAGAACTGGAATTGGCCAAAATGACCTATGAAAAGCACTGCTTGCAGCTTGAAACAGATGCTAAAGAAACTGAAGTGGAGTTGGAGAAGAAGTTAATGGAACTTGAATACCTTCTGAGTGATTCAAGGAATAAGGTCAAAGAACTTGAGACATTTTCTGAGTCTAAATCACTAAGATGGAAAAAGAAAGAACTCAGCTACAAGTGCTTTCTCGATTCTCAGTTTGGATCGCTTCAGGTTTGCATCAGCTGTCACTTCTGTAACTCAATACTGCCTTTTGTATAGTTTGTGACATGACGTTATTAAACTGCTCAGGAACTAAGGGTGGCTTCTGAATCCATAAAGCAAGAAGTTTCGAAGACACAAAAGGTTTACTCTGAAGAATTTTATCACTTAGGTAGAGTGATGGTCTAAAATTTGTTTTGTCTACCACTAAGCTTGTGCATTCATGATGGACATGGCATTTCCTTGTGATTTAAACCTTTCGTCGTGGACAGGGGTGAAGCTTAAAGGACTTGTAGATGCTGCTGAGAATTACCATACAGTCCTTGCAGAAAATAGGAAGTTGTACAATGAGGTTCAGGATTTGAAAGGTACAATGCTGAGCATCACAAATCTTGGTTGTTCATACAGCATTTATTTTAACTCATTTATTTGTTTCTTATTTGGTAGGAAATATTAGAGTTTATTGCCGAATAAGGCCATTCCTTCCTGGACAAAGTAAAAAGCATACGACTATAGAATATATTGGTGAGAACGGGGAATTGGTTGTTGCAAATCCCTTGAAACAAGGGAAAGACAGTCATCGGTTGTTCAAATTTAACAAGGTGTTTGGTCCAGCAGCTACTCAAGGTTTTGATTTTTACCTTTAATATATGTAGTTTGGTGTTATTTATTTATCTTTATTGTATTATTGATTGATATTTCTTGATATCTTATATTACAAATCAGAGTGGCTCATTATATAGGAGAGGGTTTGGGTAGTAGGTGAGGAGTAGGTGAGGGTAAATTGGTGGTAGGTGTAGTAGGTGTGGTAGTAGGTGGTGGTAGGTGTAGGTAAATTCTAACATTATTTATTTATCTTTATTTCCTACATTTTTGGTATACAATTTTAACTCACTATTCTTATATTTACATTGGCAGAGGAGGTATTTTTAGACACTCAACCATTAATTCGATCTGTCCTTGATGGATATAATGTTTGCATCTTTGCCTATGGTCAAACTGGTTCTGGAAAAACTTATACAATGGTATGAGCCATTCTCAATGGTTTATGGTGACAAATATGTTGTTTATTCATAATTGTACCTCACACTTTAATTGTGTTTCTCCCAGACTGGCCCTAATATATCATCTAGAGAGGATTGGGGGGTCAACTATCGAGCTTTGAATGATCTTTTCCATCTCTCTCAGAGTAGAAAAAACTCCATCACATATGAAGTTTGTGTTCAAATGGTGGAGATATATAATGAACAAGTGCGCGATTTACTCTCCAGTGACACTTCTCAGAAGAGATATCCTTCCCTTCACATTTGGGATTTTAGCCATATGTCTTGACTAATTTCCACTTTTAATTTACTATAGTATATTTATTAGAAGTAATATTTTTTTGGGAGCTTTCCTTTGTTCTTCTCTTTCTCCCCGTTTCTCTTCGTCTTTTAAAATACTGGAATTTTCATGAAATTATTTTTATGATGCTGCTTTTTTTTTTTAAAGTTGCGATGCTGTTGTTGTCATCTACTCATTTGGTTTAATGTAAATATTATTATTGTCCTCCTTTGTTTTGGCATTAAAAAACTTTTGTTTCCTTTGACTTGCACACACTTGGGATCTGGAATACTGCCCTACCAAATGGGTTTGCTGTCCCTGATGCTAGCATCCATCCTGTCAAGTCAACTGCAGATGTCTTGGATTTGATGAATATTGGGTTAATGAATAGGGCTGTAGGTGCGACTGCCCTAAATGAAAGAAGCAGCCGGTCCCACAGGTTTCTGGCTGATAATATTTTGTTGTTTCCTATTCTATATACAGCTTTGTAGCTGTGCCTAATTTTCATTGAAATCATATGTTTCAGTATCGTCACTGTTCATGTCCGTGGCACCGATTTGGAGAGTGATGCTGTTTTGCGTGGTAGTCTACATTTGGTAGATCTTGCTGGCAGTGAAAGAGTAGACCGTTCCGAAGCAACAGGGGACAGGCTACGGGAAGCTCAACATATAAACAAATCACTATCGGCTTTGGGCGATGTGATATTTGCTCTTGCACAAAAAAACTCTCATGTTCCATACAGAAATAGCAAACTAACTCAAGTTCTTCAAAGCTCTCTGGGTATATCTACAAATTTCCCCATTTTAATACTGACTATTTTATGGTTTGCTTAGGCATTTTAAGTTTAAAACCATTTTTTCTTTCATGGATTTGCTTAATCCTTCATCTTTTCTGTGGTGGGTTTACATTATAGGTGGTCAAGCAAAGACCCTCATGTTTGTACAGCTCAATCCTGACGTTGAGTCCTATTTTGAAAGTGTAAGTACCTTGAAGTTTGCTGAGAGAGTGTCTGGTGTTGAGTTAGGTGCTGCACGAAGCAACAAAGAGGGAAGAGGTGTCAGAGAACTTATGGAACAGGTCCTTATTCTTTTTTAATTTTCATGAATGTTACTTATATAAGAGGTTTTGTAGGGATTTTGTAATAACCTGAAGTTTTGAATCAAGACTCCTGTTTTCTGCAAATACAGAAATGTGGGAAAATTGGGCAACAGTTTGACTGAACATTTAGAAAAAAATAAAATAAAATAAAAAATCCTCCACTAAACATTTAGGAAAAAACTTCCTGTCACCAACCAAGTTCATTTTTCTATCTTTTCTAATGCTTCACATGCAGTGTCTTCCCTCCATGTTGTTTATAATCCAAATGTATTGTCTCAAGTTACCTAACTGAAGGAAGTGATGAAGTGTTAAAAGCGCATCAGATTGAAATGTGCAAGCCAATAAAAAAATGACTAGGAGAGAGAGAGGCCTATATGTGGTTTTTAACTTTTGCTTGTAGAAGGATAATGTCTGTGGCAAGCGCACAGTGAACAAGATTATGAATGTGGGATCATCTGTACATTGCGCAATGGTTTGAGAAGTGTTGTGGTTATCATTGATGACCACATGTTCGGAATACAGAATAGTAAAGAAGTATGGACACAGACATGTGACACGATAGACATGCTGACACATACACGTAGGGAACATATGCAAAATATGAAAAATTATATATTTATTATATATAATAAAATGAACATTTAATTCAAAAGTTATAATTTTTGAAGTCTAAAAGAGGACAATATGTATAAATATACTTTTTTTTTTCTTTTATGATTTTTTCATTAGATTCCAAGTTATTTTATTCAAATTATAATGTGTTTCATGTGTGTCTAAGCAATAGACACGTGTTTCCCAAGTGTCCGAAGCGTGCTGTGTCTAGAAAAATTTTAAAATAGGATGTATGTCAAACAGGTGTCAGGTAGTGTCCAGCGGCTGTTCATTTGACACAACATGCCACCTGAGAAGTGTCCGTCTTTCTTCAACGACGACGACGAGTAAGAGTACAACCACGGATATGTGAGAGGCGAGGTGAACGGCGATAGAGGCTAGACGATGATGCAGGTGCCGCCGCCGACATAGCGGAGGAGGGGTGTAAGAAAATGTTGAAGAAGTCAAGGTATGTGTAGAAAATAAGCGGAATAGGTTGAGGTCCGGCGGGCGGCCAAGGCGAGGTTGCCGCCCGCCGGTGAAGCGAGAAATACTAAGGTCTTAACCTTACTCTGATACCATGTAAAAATTTATGTATTATTGATTGATGTTTTTTGATATTTATTATAATGATTCATAATTCCTATAAATAGAAGAGGGTGAGTGTGTAGTAGGTAAGGAGTAGGTGAAGTGGTAGTGGTAGTGGTAGTGGTGTAGTGGGTTAGGTTTAGTGGAGTAGGTTTAAGTGGGTGAAGTAGGTGGAGAGTAGGTGGATTTTAACATGTTCGGAATACAGAATAGTAAAGAAGTATGGACACAGACATGTGACACGATAGACATGCTGACACATACACGTAGGGAACATATGCAAAATATGAAAAATTATATATTTATTATATATAATAAAATGAACATTTAATTCAAAAGTTATAATTTTTGAAGTCTAAAAGAGGACAATATGTATAAATATACTTTTTTTTTTCTTTTATGATTTTTTCATTAGATTCCAAGTTATTTTATTCAAATTATAATGTGTTTCATGTGTGTCTAAGCAATAGACACGTGTTTCCCAAGTGTCCGAAGCGTGCTGTGTCTAGAAAAATTTTAAAATAGGATGTATGTCAAACAGGTGTCAGGTAGTGTCCAGCGGCTGTTCATTTGACACAACATGCCACCTGAGAAGTGTCCGTCTTTCTTAACAGAACAGTATGAATGTGGGGTTTTGAAGTACAGAACCTACATCCATGCAATTTGGCATGAAGATCCTTGACTACTTTCCTCCGCAACAATATTTCACTGTATTTGTTAATTTTTAGGGATCCCAAAACCAGCTTTCACGCATTCCTCCCTATGGATGTCTCATCTGCCTTGTCAGTTGTATGCAACAATTAGCAGAATCTTAAAAGAATAGATCTAGGTGCATGTATTTTGACATACCAGAATTTTGCTTGGGGATGGCTTTTGCAACATGATAGTGGCAGAGATTTAAGTACACTGGTGTACTTTTTGGCGTTTCTGCTGAAACTGAAAGTGAAGGGCCAATTAGCACTAACAACACATGAACACGCGCAACGACCTGAACATGCGGACAGTCAATTTTTAAAAAAAATGCAGGACAAGACACTTTTGGGACATGTTAAACATGTATATTTTTATAAATTTATTATTTTGTCAAATATATGAATAGTTTATTCAAAGATAATGAAAAAATATAACACTAATTGAAGTTAGAAAATCATATATTCCATCACTAAAACATTAATATATCAATCACGTAACAATTGCAATAAAGAAAATGCAAAACAATTGTGAATATAGAAGTACAAATGATGTATTCATCTTATTAATGTTACAAAATATATTTAGAGTAAGTTGCATTTTGAGGAATACAATACATTGTTACTATGAAGAAATTCATCACATAGGTCATGCTCAGAGGGTTCAAGAAGTATCACCGAAGTGTCTATAAAGTGTCCGATATTATGAATTTATATTTTTAATTAGGACATATTGAAGAATTTTCGGGCACACTTTTTAGGAGTGTCAGAAGAGTGTTGTGTCCGACACGAGACGCTTTCTCCATATAAATGTTTGTGCTTCTTAGGTGAAGGGTTTTCCTTTATAATGTTGTAGGAAGACATAAATTAAGTATGGACTTAAGTGCTGAGGTCGTCTCTGTTAGACGAGTAATAATGATTAAAGGAGCATGGGCTAAAACCCAAGGGAAGTGGGTCAATTAGAGGGTCGAGCCTCGTCCGACCTGCCAAAGGTCCGAACAAGCTCCATGCAGAAAAATGGCTAACTCAAATTGCAGGGACAACACTTGCAGTGGCCAAGTGGCTGAGGCATTTTGTCAACGCCGCCATCTCAAGTATCGTCAGTGTCGCCATCTAAACTTGCTGAGGGAAATACTAGCCACAGCAATCACAGTCACCGTAACTAACTCGCAGAGGCAACACTTGCAGCGGTAAAGTTGCAGAGGTAGCGCCGACATCCCAAGTAATGCCGGTGCCGTCATCCCAAATATTGTGGCCCCACCATTCGAACTTGCTGAGGGAAACAGAAACTGTAGCAACTATAACTGCCGCAACTAATTTGCAGAGGGAAAACTCTACAAGGGTGACAACAACCTTCAAAAAAAGTTTTCCCTCCACAAGTAGAGGCTAATGTTTGGCGTTGATAGCAGGCCCTAAGGTATTACTACTCTAGGGCTGATAGCAGGCCCCAAAACATTATTAGCTCGGCGCTGGTAGTAGACCCTGAAGCTCAATAACTTGGTGCTGATAGCAGGCCCCAATGCTTACTGATTGGAGCTGATAGCATGCCCAAAAATATCAGTGTATTGCAACGACCCCACGAAGATGGGAGCAGGGTAGTCCGAAAGTAAGGGACTCTCTTTCCATTATCCAGGTCATGGACCTGCCTTGGTTGCATAGGCAGGACCAAGGAAGCCCCCTTGGGCTTGGTACTTAGGCACTATACGGCTGATAGCAGGCTTAGTTGTGGGATTCGTCCTGGGAAGCTGGAAAGTTTGTGGTTAAGTGGTTAAGGGTGGAGGCGTCGCTGAGGTGAACACGAACATGGCTAATGGTAGGCTGTGAAGTCCTGAGAATATGCATGTCTTGGCTAAACCAAACTGAGAAGGCAAGTGCAACGACAAACACTACCGCCGCAAGTGCACTTGCTGAGGTTCAAATTAAGAAGGTAAGTTCAGCGGCAAACAGTATCTCTGCAAGTGCACTTACTGAGGTTCAAAAAGGTAGTTGCGGAGGCACTTGTGCCAAACAGATAGTACATAGTCTATGAAGTACGGGTACGAGTACCAGTATTGGTACGATACGGGAACATCGATACGTTAAAATTCAAAAAAAGTAGGGTACGGGTACAACGTGGTATGCTTGTAAAAAAATATTTATTTTTAATTTAGAGTAATGCAAAAATTAATTAAATGGTTTAATTTGTTAAGATCCAACTTGCAATTAGCATTTAATGTCAAAAGTAAAGGTATAAATCAAAATCAAATGTCAATATATTAAATAACGTACAAACCAAAGTTTAATTTTAAAAACATGCTAAGCATACCTAAAAATAAAAAAGAAGTCTAGGGAAAAGAGTTTTATCTTCTCTGTAATAGAAGAAAATATTGTTTCAACTGAGGTACAGTACGGCTTGGGTATCTAGTAGGTACATCTGGGTACAACAAAAATTAAGAAGAAAAATTTGGATACGTGTTTCGTGTACCCAATACGTATGGAGAAGTACCATACGAGGTACCATACATTGGTAAGTATCTGGTACGGGTACGGCATGTTTTTTGAAGTACCCGTGTTTCATAGTACATAGTACATGCAAAAGGACATATGAAACCTTCAGCTAGTGGTCCAAGACAGAATATGCCATGTGATTCTTAGGGACACTTGTCCTCACCTTATTTGGCTACTTGATATCCTTTGGTACCAAGGACATGCTTATAAATAGGACCCATTTTAAAGGTCCAAGAGGAGGATTTTCTTGAGATTTGGGGAGGTGTTGCCCATTTGTGCATTGCCATGCTTTTCTCCTTAAACCACTTGCTCCACCCTCACCCAACTACTCATTGTCCAGCCAACCTAAATTTGTTGGACCATTGATACAATTTTGCCTCTCTAATCACTCTCTTAATCACTGTTCACTCCGAACCCCCTTGCAAATGTTAATGTTGGTGGATGATTGTAAAAGATGCTTAAGATTCGGAATTGTATGAAGATTTTCTACTGATGACAGAGCTGATTATGTTGAATTAACTTCGCATTATCATTGTGACAATTACTGTGCCTTGGTAACCTAACCATCAATATGCCACTTTATGTACATTATTTGACTTCTTTTACAATCTGTGTTTGCTTTGTGTTTCTTGTAAGAATTTGAGGCAAAATGCCTCATGCCCTACTATTTGATGCTTGCTTGCCTTCACTTGTTTATATCTGGAATGGCATTATAATCTATCTGATTGCAAACTCAAGAATGCATGCTAAAATCTCTTGGGTGGCCAATTTTATTTTATTTAAAACTTGATTTCATTCTACTGTCTCATATATGTTTTTTGGTTGATCTTGTAGGTGGCTTCCCTAAAGGACACAATTGCGAAGAAAGATGAAGAAATTGGAAGGTTGCGGCTGCTTAAAACCAGTGTAAATGGTGAGAGACATGGTATGAGCTCACCAAGGTATGGGTCTTCGTCTCCAAGAAGACATTCTGTAGGACCTCCACGTCCAGGACAAACACTGCCAGGGGGGAAAAGCTCAGGACTTACTGACAAAGCAGTTTCTGATTTGGACAATAATAATAGCTCAGAGTACAGTGATAAGCATTCTGAAGCAGGTTCTCATCAGTCAATGGATGACTTTAGGCACCATAAGGAATTTTTTCAACAATCAAGACTTGCCGTAGCAAATGGACGTCAAAATATTACTGGAAACATTGAATCAAGGCTTGCTTTAGTAGATGGAAGCCAAAATACTACAGAAGACATTGAGCTTCTGGGATTTGGGGATGCAGATGCTGGGGAGAGATTAAGCGACATATCTGATGGTGAACTTTCAATGGGCACAGAAACTGATGGTTCAATGTGTAGTATTGTGGAGTTTACTCTTTTCCCTGAAACTATGAAAACTCAAGCAAATAGCACAGAAAAGTGAGTGTTTTCATTCCTTAAAAAGTGTTTTGAGTGCTGCCGAAATTTTTTATGTGGGTAAAAATAAAGTATTTTGACATTCTAGATTCTCACATTTTTTTTTTTGTTGATCAGCAACAAATTAAAATAGAGAAAACAGGAGACAACAATACAAGGAGGACAATACGTCCTCAAAAGTGAAAAGCAAAAAAAGAAAAACTAGACCCACATGACCTTCCAATAACTAGAAATTAACAAAAGCAGGATTCCCCTAAATGGGGGAGCAACTAAAGCCCAAAAAGATGCCAAAAAACTGATTTTCTCCCACATCGAATGGACTTCGATATTTTGTCCTCAAAGATTCTCTAATTTCTTTCCAACCATATGACCCAGAATAGAGCAAAAACTGCACAAAGCCCCAACACCTTTGCTTTTTTGTTACAGCCCAGAAATCGAAAATCAATAGAAAGCATTGAACTACATGATTCGGGTGCCACCCAAGCAAGGCCTCCCCACGAAAATCAATAGATTCTCACATGTTTTTCTCTGCCTTTATAATTTTCAGTTTTTTAGAATGTTATCTGTTGTGCACACTAAATATTTCTTTCGTCTCCAAACTCCAGTAATGCGCTGTAGACGAAAATTATACTCCCATAAAATAGTTAAATTCTTTTCATTTGTTTTGGTATGTGCTATGTTGCCATATTGGAACTACCACAGGACATTTTTTGCCTGTTATTTTCTTTTACTCATGGTTGCTGTAATTTAGCTTTGATCAGTTCCTGAATATGCATTAGTTCTCAGATAATTTTATATTTTCTCACTGGACTATGAGACTCAAGCTGTATGTGATAACTCTAGGAACTTTATTGAAGACTAAGTGCATTACACCTGACATTTCTGTTAATTGTGCATCTTTACTGTATCTATATTTTGGCGAAAGTGTGGGAAATGATATAATATCTCATCTAATTTAACAACCTACAATTAGAAAGAAGCATGTATCACATTGTTTTTGAGTTGCAGTACATATTGGTTAATGTATGAGGAAAATGGATTCATTTTGTCATTCTATATTTGCTTCCGTATTATTTGGTGTGATGAACTGCTGATGTGCCTGCATGTTGTTTTCTTTTAGAGGATCATCTTCCCAGCAATTAAATTTTTTGCAAGGATAGAGTACTGAAGAATTGCAAAGAAACTGAAATTGCTATGAATATTGAATATCCCACTGTTATGTAGAGAGCTTGTACCCGAAATGAGTCTTCATGTGCATTTTATTCTGTTGTTTGATTTGACTTTATTTTTTAGGAGTCTTATCTTATTATTTGTTAACGCTGAGGGCTGATTAACCATTGATATCTATTAGTCGGTGTAGGGTTAGCAGTTCACCAGTAAAAGGCATGGTTTGCTTTATTGATGATACTTTTGTCCAACCCAACACCACAAAAGAAAAAAGAAAAAAGAAAAAAAGAAAAAAGAAATCATAATTCTTATTATGTTGCCTTTCTCTCCTTCCAGTGCCAGTTTGAGGTATTCAAGTATCTGTATATGCACATCCTCTATGTTCTGAAATAGGTTTTCTTCAGCAACCAGCATCCTTGTTTTTGTTGTATTTTGGTATATCTAGGAGATTCACACATTTATGTTTTGATCTCTGCATTAGTTGGTTTGTTTGCAGTTGGGAACATCAGATCCCTCACTTGGCTTCACAACATGATTAGACAAATCTAATTCTGCTTCTATTATTGGTTTATTGCAGGCCCGGTGTGCCATCTAAACTTCCTAGACCTCTACAAAGACAGGTGCAAAAAGCAACTTCGCGGTTGTCATTGATGAGGGGCTCCTCAAAAGCTTCATCAAGTATGTAAAACTACTATTTTTTCTTTAATGAAAAACCTGCCATGCATGAGATGTATGTCTTATTTTTTATGCTTTGTTTTTCAACTTGGAATGCCTTTTGGTCATATTTTGTCTGTTTTTCTTTTTGGGTAGAATCTGATATGAAATATCACTAAAGACTTTTTTTTCCGCTGTGATCCTCAATTGAAGCCCCTTCTATCTATTTATTTCTTCCTGAAAATAATATCAAAAAATCATTTCAGTAGTGATCAATTATTTTCCATATCTTGTAAAATGTAAACCGTGGTGATTAAATAAAAAACTAATAATTGCTGATCTCTGTGCTTAGTTTTATTGAAAATATAGGTCCCATCTGTTATATAGGAGAATGAGGGAACAACTTCCTAATAACTAAACTAGCAGCCAGTAATGTTATACTCCAGTATATTAACCATGCATAATATTTATTTCCTTTGCCTCAGGTTCTAAGAAAACAAGTGTTGGCGGTTTTTCTTCAACCAAGTCCACAAAACGATGGCAGTAAATTAGAAGGGCTACTTTGGGTGGCAGAAGGACTATTGCAAACCTTCCTGCTTGTAAAGTCTGCTGACATTCCTTCACTTTTAGCCTATTAACAGGCTTCCATTACTGGAAATTCTTGTACTGGAAGAGCTTATTTGTAAACTTTACTTTGTAATGTATACAACCATTCATCATATAGGATGAGATTCACTATCATGTCCATCTTTGTATCTTTAGGTTGTTGGTGCTTAGCATGTTGACGTGGTATTCGTAATTATGAGATGTGTGAAGCCGATTTGATCCTTCTTGACAAGATTGGTCCCGTTTACTTCTGTTTTTGGCGTTTCATTGATTAGTTGCACCATGTGCATATGCCACGATATTGCTTGATAACTGAATAGTTTTTGTGATTGCTGGGTCATAGAGGAAGCGGTATCACAATTTTTGTTCATGTTAACAGGTGGGGGTCTCGGTGTTGATTATATCAGTGATAGTTCAAATTTTGGGTTGTAAGAAAAAACAGTTGAACCGAATCCATTGTTTTTGAATTCATAACGTATCCAATATTAACGGAAATATTATATTTCAAATATTTTTGTAGTTAATTTGATTTTTTAAGGATTAGAAAATAAGTGATCAATGTTATAAATTTTGTAATAGGAAAATGCGTGAGAGTTCAAATGTGTGAGAGCTCAAATGCCTCGAATGTCAAAACGATGTCGTTTTGGCATTCTTACCGGTAAGAGAATGATTCAGACTTGGTTCGGAAAAATTATCTTACCGTAAGAGAATAAATCTTACCGCTAAAATAAAATAAAAAAAATTCAAAACGATGTCGTTTTGAGATTTCGAGTCATTCGAGCCGTTGATAATTCGAGCTACGTAGTGGAGTGGAGTTGTTTGTAATAAAGGCAAGGGGACATACTCATCATTTTTCATCATTTTATATTATGATGTGGAATTTTACATGTTTTATAATAAAAAGAGTAATTACCAACTAATCTCCTTAAGAAGACTTTAAGTCCTATTATTTTTTATTGAGCGATAAATTTATCAGTCTTTCATTTTTATGAATAAATTTATAGTAATAAATTTATCAGTCAAAATTTATAGATAAATAAGTCTTATTAATAAGAACGGTTTGTAAATTTCTTTTATAAAACCCTCAATGTTTCATGTGAATTCTTTCCTCATATATATATTATTAAAAAGGGAAAATTGGTCTAGAGGCCAGAGAAATTCAAAATTTCTCTGGACCAATTTTCTCTGACTTGAATTTTCTCTGGACCAATTTTCTCTGGATTGATGTTGAGGGACCTTAGACATCATGAAAATATTTGATGTCCTTTATACTATAAAATCATAATATCAGGGATCTTAAAAAAAATACCCCTATTAAAAAAAATATTTTTTTTATACTTAAGTGGCACATTATAACGGTTTATTTTTTTCTAAGACAATTACGTTAACATGTATTTTCTTAATTACATATAAAATTCTACACAAATCCAAACATAATTTAAATTATAGTAACTTTATCTACTTTATATGGATTCTATTTGATAAATTATCTAGAGTTCTACACAAATTCAAACATAATTTAAATTATACTAACTTTACTTATTTTATATAAATCCAAACATAATTTAAATTATATTAATTTTACCTATTTTATATGGACTCTATTTAACAAACATTTTTTTTCCCCATATATTTTTCATCGTAAATTGAGATAATCCACAAACTTAATCATCAATTTTGCATTTCGAGTTTTTCTTCTTAATTCTTTTAAGGGTATTAGGATTTTTTTTTAATGCTAAAGTGCCTTCTTTGTTTCCTTCTTATTTTCCCATGTATTATTCTATACTCAATACCAATTCTATATTAAACTATATTATGGATTTGTCGTTTAAATTTTATAGTAATTCTATATATTAAATTATATTTCATTTCTTATATTATTTTATATAATCACAGCTCACATAAGGAAAAATTTGCACAACAATGATACTCTTGAGAAACCTCTAAAGTTTGAATTTATTACTTGAGTTATTTTTTTAATTGTTGAATAGTAAGTTCTTTTATGTTTTGACATCATATTACAGATGATTAATCACTTTCACATAATGAGATGTACTATGGTTTGGATTATATTTTCCTTTTGGATTTAAATGTTGTTATGTGATTCTTTTTGGTTAGTCGTTGTTGAATTTCTTTTATATACTTGATATTTTAATTTAATTAAGAGTAGTTATTTTATAATCTTATAATTTAATATATATATATATATATACATATCATATAAAATCATTATATGATAGTCCTATTACAACATATTTATATTTAATTTTTTTGATAAATTTTATATAATTTCTATCTCTACATATTTTTATTTTCCAAATGAATATAAAAGAAAATTAACTAATTAGAATTACTTTTAATTTTATGTTACTAATTTTTCTTCTAATTTAACTATTATTTTTAATATTAAAATGAGTATTTATTTTACTATTTTATAATTTAATATGTATCATACAAAATTATTATATGATAATTACACTTTTATAATACAATTGAACTAACATTTTCAAAATATACAAATAATTTAACTAAAATTAATATATATAAATATTCAAATAACAATTTTATAAAACGATAATGACAATATTATTAAAATAAATAATTAAAATCATACTTTAAAATTTTAAATTAAAATTAAAATTATTCTTTTACAACACATATTATATCATCAAATATTTTTTTTTTAAAAAAACAAAAAATACGTGCGTTACACAGATCAACTGGAGCTTGTGATCGGTTTCAATCTTAACTAATAAAATTGAATGATTTGATTCTATGATTATTAATTTTTTTTTTGGACTCTGACGAAACCACCACTTGTATCTTTAGTCAGACTAACTCACATTCCTGGTTAAACTGTGAATCTGGTTATTAGTATAAACAAAAGTGAAACGATGGGTTTGTTTGGGCTTTTTTAAATAAAAGTGAAACGATGTGGTTGTTTAGATTTTTTTTGAGCTAATTTATAGTTTTTAGTTTTTTAAAAATTATTTTGAATTGTTTGGTTAAATTTATTTCAAACAGTTTTTTATTCTAACAACTTATTTTAACTTACAAAAATTGATTCTGAGAAGCTGCTGACCACTTATTTCTGATTATCAGTTTCTACTGTGGACATATTAATTTACAGTTATACTCTTAGATTTTTTATTTTTTATTTTTTATCTTTTTAAAAATAAAAAAAGACCCAAACAGACTATAGATTATTATTATTATTATTATTTATGAGAAATGTAGACAAGTAGTGAATAACAAAAAATAAAAATTAATTGAAAAAGTTACTTCACAGTTTATTTAACAAACACAGTAACTTAAATTTATAATCCAACAATTACACCAAACAAATTAACAGTTTTTTATTAAAGTCATAATTTATAATCTATTAAGTTATAATTTATAATCTGCTTTAATAGTTACACTAAACGAGGCCTGAGTATTAATATTTAAATTGTAGAAAATGGCATCGATGTGTGGGTAGCGTAGTCAGTCATCAGTTGTTGAGGAATTTTCAAAATGACTTTTCAAATTTATAATTTATTTTTGGGTGTTTTCAAAAACTTTTCAGGTTTTTCTTTGGAAAGCATGAAATAAGCTTGAGACTGTGTCCCATATGAGAAAGAGAGGAAAACATGGAACACTTAATAAAGTGTTACATAGAATATTCCTTTGAATATGGAATTGTGAGGTGAAAGCTAGTGTGCATGCATCCACACCGTAAGGATGGTGCTTCGCACCACATGCACGCGGCGTGCGCAGTGGGCTGTGTGGCGTTTGATGGCGTACTTTGCACTTAGCAACATGCCATAAGGGCGCTTTCCTATTTGCATCGGACAAGTTAGAGCGATAGCGTGGATCTAACGTGACATGGGTAACGTGGAATACAGTCAGCTCCACGTGGTAGTGACGTGTCATCCGTTGGCGATGAGTCAACAAACCGATCAATCCGTTATGTGTTCGATTTAGAGTGGGTTGATCATAGTTGTTGATTAGAGATGCGCGCGATCGTACGGATGGGATGACACCCGATCATGATCAAGTGTGATTAGTCAATGGGTCTAGTCAGTGTGAGAATTATCTTCACCATAGATCGTCGATCCAACGGTCAGATCTGATCGGATGCGATCAAGGGACATGATCATTCGATCAGGTGCATCAAGGCCTATATATAGGTTGTGAAATCAGCCATTTCATTCCATTCAAAAATTCAAAATTCATTCCTGTAATTCTCTCTCTTTCTCTCTCTCTCTCTCTCTCTTTTGATTTAGAGTTTTCAATCAAAAGTTTCTTAAGCAAATTTTTGTTTTTCTTACTGGTAATCAAGTTCTGTAGTTTTTATTATTAGTGTCTTGGTTTTCTTGATTATATCAAGAGTATTCTGATCTACTATCGTCAGTATAGACGCCAATAGATTTGATCTTTAGATCAGGCTTCATTGTATCCTAAAGGAAAATTTGCTGTAATCCCTACACACTTTTTTGTGAGTGCAAATATTGTCTTTAAGAAAGTGACTAACTAGCGTGACTTGAAGTACCAAATTTTTGTCCTAAATAGACAAGATCATTGCGAAGTTTTGAAGACTCAAAAACCACCAACCGAAGAATTCAAGGCGAATTATTATAACACAAGCTAGTCTTACACACTAGATGTCCACATTATTTTATACTTTTTTTTAATAATTATATTTATTTTTGTAAAGACTTATTCGTTTTGGAATTAATTATTTTAATTAATTTTTTAATTTTTTTTTTATAAAAATTATGTAAAAAAATAAAGAATAATATGATAATTTATAGTGATTTTTAAATTTTCTTTCTGACTATTTTAATCTATTAACAAAAGTGTTTGATGGAATTGGTTATGTTTGTGTTTTAGTATAATACTGTAATAATTCTCAACTTTTCACACTTGGTACAATCTCATCCTTTCTGTGTGGGAATATTATTGTGTGGGAAATTTTTCGATCACACTGCCAACTCAGTAATTCAGTTAGAGAGCACTGATAGAATAGATGGCACCTGACTGACCTGCAACAGAAATATAAGAATCCCGCGGTGGTTCGTCCACCCGGGGGCACTCCGACGATCAAGTCAGTATATCTCTCAAAGATAATCAATTATTCAACTCACAAGCTTGAGTCTAAAAAGTATACCTTAGACCCGTGGGGGTGCCTCTCTTTTATAGCCAACATAAACCTAGTCCCAATAGAAGCCTAACTTCTATGGACTCAGGATTACTGCTAATTTTAGACTCCCAGTAAGATTAAGATAAACTCTCTAAGAGTCTTATCTTAATACAAACTGAAGTCTTCTCTCATTCTAGGACTCTTGAACAGAAATATAAGAATCCCGCGGTGGTTCGTCCACCCGGGGGCACTCCGACGATCAAGTCAGTATATCTCTCAAAGATAATCAATTATTCAACTCACAAGCTTGAGTCTAAAAAGTATACCTTAGACCCGTGGGGGTGCCTCTCTTTTATAGCCAACATAAACTTAGTCCCAATAGAAGCCTAACTTCTATGGACTCAGAATTACTGCTAATTTTAGACTCCCAGTAAGATTAGGATAAACTCTCTAAGAGTTTTATCTTAATACAAACTGAAGTCTTCTCTTATTCTAGGACTCTTGTCCCTCATCCAGGTTGAGTTCCCTTTTCATTCTAGGGCTTTTGTCCCTTATCCACTTATCTCGGATTTCGATATCTTCGGAGATAATCTCGGCCTTGTCGAGATCACCTCGGCGTCACGACCAGGACACGTGGCACCTCGGCTGACACATCGGTGTCACCTTGCCACGTATTAGTACTCAGAAAATATATCCCCACAAATGCTCATGTGACATCTAAATTTAAATTTATTTTATTATTGATAAAAGTACAGAAAAACTAGAATTAGTGCTAGTTAATATTGCAATAATTCTCAACTTTTCACTTGGTACAGTCTCATCCTTGTTGCATGGGAATATTGTATAATGCTCATGTGGCATCTAAATTTAAATTTATTTTATTGGATGCAACTTACCTCTAGTTTGAGATCGGATTGGCGGTCTTCTTCAGTTCGTGAGGGCTCACCATAGATCTCGTTTTAATAATTTAAATCGTTCAATATGTAGAACTCGTCGAATACTATATATAAAAAATCACGTTGATCGGATATCGATAATTATGTAATCAAATTAGTTTTGTATAAAAAAAAAATGGACGGTGAACAAATTAACGGTTGATAAAAAATTGATCAAACGAAATAGTTATCGATATCCGATCAATATGAATTTTTACAAGCATATAGTACTCGACGAGTTCTATACATCGAACGGTTCGAATTATCAAAACAGAATCATAATAAGCTCCCATAAACTAAACAGTACCATCCAATCCAATCCAATCTCAGAGGGGAGGCTAGCTGCTCCTTATTTGATTATTGATAAAAGTACTGAAAAACTAGAATTGGTGCTAGCAGTGGCATATAATAACCACACCGACTCTTCAAAAGATCTTAAATAGCAACCGCCATAAGTTCCCTTTTTAAGACCAATTCCAATCTCAATACACCACCATAAATAGATAGATATAGAATTTACAAACACGCTGCCATAGTTTCAGACTCGATTTCCCAATTAATAAATCTCTCTCTCTCTCTCTCCCAAAAAAAAAAAAAAAAAAAAAAGAAGAAGAAAAAGAAAAGCAGAGTTTTGATAGACATGTCCAACTGGTCCAGCCTCTCTGAAGACATCTTACTGTTAATTCTAAAACAAACCACCAATCTCTCAGACTACATCCACTTCAGCGCCGCTTGTTCATCATGGAGATCTGCCGCCAAACACGATCTCCACCGCCACCGCTACCAACTTCCCGGCCTCATAGTTTCATCCAACTCACAGACCACCGCCACCACCCAACCCTCTCTTTTCCTACCCATCACAACAATCCATCACTGCCACCGCCGCCACCACAACTACCTTCGACAGCTATTTGTACCTAAAAGCACCACATGTTGTGGGTCCCATCAAGGATGGCTGGTCACAATAGACACCACCCACATGGCCATGCAAGTCCTAAACCCTGTCACAGGGATCCAATATCCACTCCCTCATCTCACAACTCTCTCATCTAAAACCTCCTCTGATTGGCCCATAACTAAAGCTGTTCTATCCTCAACCCCACCATCATCAGACTCAAACTGCATCATGGTCCTATTGATCTACGGTTATGGAGCATTAGCCTTGTGCAGACTAGGCGACCCTTCATGGACCTCCATAGACTCCGCCACCACAGTCCCTTCTGATGGACCTCTTGGTCACCTTGACTCCATTTTTCATCATGGAAAGTTCTATGTGGTGCACTCTAGTGGAAGCCTCTCTGCCTTAGAGTTCAATTTCAATCCAAATCCAATTCTCATCAGATTGACTAAATTGCCTAATCTTCCTAGGCTTGAAAAACGTTACTTGGTTGAATCAGGAGGTGAATTATTTCAAGTTCTTCGTCTATTTCATGACAATGAATTAGGGTACCACACCACTGGTTTTGAAGTGTACAAGTTAGATTTTATTGAGAACAAGTGGGTTGGAGTGAGGAATTTGGGAAAATTTGCTCTGTTTCTGGGATTGAATCAATCGGTGTCACTGTCTGAATCTGATGTGCCTGGGATTAAAGGCAATTGCATATATTTTACAGATGATTTGTGTTGTACAAACAGGTACATTAAAAGTTCAGGATATGACACGGGTGTGTTCAACTTGGAGGACTCAACCATTGAGCCACTTTACCCAACAAACATTGTATCAACAAAGCTTCCCCTTCCTGCTGTTTGGGTTACTCCAATTCCTTGGTGAGACCATGAGATTAGCCGCATGGCACGGTGAAAGAGAACACAGAACCTTTTATCTTTGTTCTATGAAAATAACCCAAATGTTCAAAGTATTTTACTCTAGCACTTTCTATCTTTTGTGTTTTATGTAAATTTGATATTCATTATCAGGCATTTTATTAGAATACAAGGAATTTTCAATAAATTCAAGTTTGCTGTAGAATGCTTTTGTTTAAAGGAATGGAAAGAAGTTGGGGCCGTTTTGAGCAAGGTGCTATTAATATTATTTCAAATTATATTTTTAGTTTCTATAATTTGTCTTTGTGATAATTTTGTCTTCATCGTTCTAATTGTATTAATTTTGTCTTTGTGATAATCTTGTCTACATTTTGAGCACGGTAGATGTGATTTTCTTTCTTCTTTATTATTATATGTTCAAAAGAGTTTAAGAATTAGGGGAAAAATTACACATCAGTCAAATTAGTGACAAAGTTATAAATTTAATAATTATTAATATTTATAAATTTTACCACTGATTTGAAAATATTTTTGAACAATTACTGAGTTGTAATTGTCCCTAAGAATTAAGCATTAGCTTGTATTTGAACACTTCAAAGGAATTTAATTCAAATAAGTTAAAGAAATTTGAACATAGGAAACATCCAAGTCGTTGTAGTATAGTGGTAAGTATTCCCGCCTGTCACGCCGGTGACCCGGGTTCGATCCCCGGCAACGGCGTAATTTTTTTGATATTTTTAAAGTTTGTTGCCTCTCTTTTTGTGCTCTTTCTCTTTTCACGGTATCCCTATTTTTATTTTGGTTCTGTGCTTTCATTCTAATAACAATAATTCTAAGGATAGTAAACTGACCACATAATATACAGGTGGTCATACACGTTACACAATGAAATCCCATTGTGAGTTGAGCAAACACTCTTGTAGCGGGCTCTATTGTCCTACGCTGCTGTCTACGTGTATGGTCACCAATACTTTTTGTGGTTTTTTGGCCGATTGTGCCCATAGAATTACTCTTCACAAGTGAGAAAAGAGTGCAAAAATTTAAAGGCTAGATGGACACCACAACAATTCTACAGATATAGAACCGACCAAGTCGCCATACACGTCAAACACGTGGCCTCACTGTGAGTTTAGCGAACTCTTCTATGACGGAAGCCCCCAACCTGTGTGCATGACCACCAATTCTTTTTATGGTCAGTTCTTTGGATGATTGATTTTGTGTGTCAGTAGAACTTTACTCACAAGTGAGAAAGAGTGCAAAGGGTTAAGAGGTTATTTAAACTATATAAATGCATAATTCCCACTGTGAGATAAACAAATGTTTCTGAAAATTGCTATATAGTTCACAGAAGAATAAGATAAAGAGTACACACCATTTACCATTTATTCTAGAGATACAGAGACTTCTGAAAATATACAAGTGATCTTCTTGCCTTCAAACCCGTCACGGTGGAAGCTCTATTTCATCATTCTCAGAATCTACGTTCCCTAAAACATTTACCCATCATAAAAATTACAAGAACAGAAGTGAAAGAACTACCATCTCTCAAAAATTGAATGATTACTTCTTTTCCTTCACTATCTACTAACATTACGGACAGTATTGTGGGTTGTTTGAATCTTGCTATAAAAAGTGAAAGTTTGAACAAATTATGTAGAGCCTCGCTAGAAGATGTAGCACGGTCCCTCCATTGTAGTAAACTTGCTTAAAGTAGTACAAACTCGCAGCCCATTACCTATAATCCCAATCTAGAATTAACTGATAATGCATTTGTGCCTTAATAAGCAAAGCCAAAATGTGTCTACGCCCGATCAATCGGAGAAAAGGGTGGGTTGAGTTTAAAGGATTTTGGGATTTCTTCCATCTTCTTGATGGCTTTCCTCTTTTCCTCCTCTGTAACTGCATCAATTAAAATTTTAACTTCTTCCTCAATAAACACTTTAAGTGAATTCCTTTTCAACAATTTGTTGGCTCTCTCTTGCCCAACAGCAATTGAGGCTTCTGTGCCATGCAATATAGCAACACAAATGGAGAATGCTTGTAATGGAGATAATTGTGCGTGGAAGTCAACTGAATACCATCCCTCCTCAATAACAGTCATGGTCAATGCCGGCGTATTTTCTTTTGATCCCTGTAGACAAGTGGAATGAAGTAATAGTTTGTGAGAGATGGGCCAAATTTACTAGAAAGCAAAAGGGCAGCCACTAAGAATTTATTTCTGAAGGTTGCTTTGCAAATAAAGTTTTACTGATACAAAAAGAAAAAAATTGTCTTTGTTATGCATGTGTAATTGCAAAAGTTGTAAAAGTAAATTTGTTCTGACTTGTTTGGCACAAAGGCCATACATATGTTGCTTAACTTGTTTAACACTAAGAGAAAAATGAAAAAAATGAAATCACCATATTGTGTTTTAATGGAATTAAAGAACACCATTTTTGTTGTCTAAAATGTAGTCAATACCCTACAAAGTCATTCAAATCACTGGAAACGAGATAGAGATGAAAATGAAATACCACCGTGAACATATTGAATGGTTAATGATCCAAACTTACATGAGCATAGGAAGAACAAATGAATTCATTTAAAAAGCAAAATGGGTCACAAACATGTGAATCACTTGGGAAAACAATTATTTGATATGTTATCTGCCATATCGGATGAGAAGTTTACCTGAACAAAAAGCTCCAAAGGCTGCTGATTCTCCATGAGCCTATGATCTTCAGCACTCTGAATATTGGGATTGCCAAAAACAGTAAGCGGGCATGCCACGTCCCAACCACCACAGTCGCAGCCTCCACCCAACCTCCACCGATCAAGTAATGGTGAAGGACCATGGTTCTCATTATTGGGCAAACTATGGTTTCCAAAAGGGACAACCACATTTACCTTTGTGGGGCTTGAGCAATCAAGAATGCCTTCCTTTCTCTTCTCAGCCGCAGAGAGGTCAAGCAAATTTGGATGTGTTTGATCACTCAGAATCTTTCCAAATGGGACTTGTATGACAATGGCCGCTATTTCAAGGCTTGGATGCAAATCTTTAGGTGCCCAAGGTTTTGGAGTTGACGAATCAAAATGGGTATTGTCCACAACATGTTTTGGTTGAAGTTTGAGCCTCGATTGATCTGGCACATCATCCAACTCACAAGTTCCACGTGCTGGGCTTTGATTAGAACTCTTGGGAGGTCTAACAACACCGTGCACAACATCGTACAATACAAACTCAGTCACCATAGAGTTGTCGAAAGCCCCAACATCTTTTAGCTCTGTACATAAATAACATGAAACCTTCATTTGTCCCACCATAGAGTACTCTTTGTTCCAATTTTTCAATCCCCATCCGCCAGCATTACTCTTTCTTCTGTTGTGAAAAGTGTACACCAAATTTAAAGCGTCTTCTGTTTTCCATGTCTGGGCCATAAAAATGTCTTCTGTGAAATTCAACGAGAACTCAAAAAATGGCACCCCGTGCTTAGTTTCCAACTTGAGGCATCCGTGCAAGTGACCTGGTGAACCTGAAACGGCTGAATTTTTACAGAGATCTCTTTTTACAAACTGAGAACCAAAATCAGGACTATGCATAGTGTTTGAGAAATCATTCGATGAAGATTTCCGCAACGTGTTTGTCCTCCTGAGGCTTGACATCCGAGATAGTGGAAGCCCACGAGAGCCACTTGCAGGACCCAAAGGACTTCGCTGAGACTTGGATTTTGTGAATGGATTAATCAAGCTTCTGATAGGACTGAAACGTGCTTTTGTACTACTGGATCTAGAGCACGGTTCTATGTTGTCCGTGGGAACAAAAGGTGTACATAAGTTTGAATTTAGCGAGCTATCTTCATCAGAGCTACACAAAGAGTCGACAATTCCTAATGAGAAAGCGATGGCATTGCTTTCTGTTAATTCAATTTTTCTCCTATCCTCCTCAGCTCCAATCTTCTTCATCTTCCTCACTTCTCTGGAGCTTTGATAATTGCGCTTTAGCACTTGATTCTCTTCTAGCAAAGAGTCCGGGGTGGAATGCTTTTCCAAGATGAACTGCAATTGTGATGAAAGTTAATCTCTGTAAAGTTTTTCTTTTCAACTTTTGAATGACACCAAGTTGATGGAAGTTTAGTTTTTGGGCTACCATCCAATTTGCAATATTTAAAGAATCCCAATTCCATGCCCGGTCACGTTAACAGATCTACAATCTATCGAAAATAGAGAAAGCACAAACACAGAGATAAGTACCTAGAGAGAATTGAAAAACAACATGCTAGCAATCTTCTACAATAAATAAAATAAAAAAAAAAAAAAAAAAAATTGAAAAAAAAAAAAAAAAAAAAAAAAAAAAAAAATTGAACTCTAAATCAGAATTAAACTGAGAATTAGAATTGAAAAATGATTTCCTAAATAATGATCTTGTACCGAAATTCTTGGTATAGCACATAAATTGGTTTCTCAGAAAACCAAGAATCAAAGATTTCAAATGCAAATTTTCGACGGGATTTTGATTGAAATGGTTGATAATAAAAAATAAAAAAAAATAAAAATGAAAATCAACTTATGTTATATTATATGCCATTGCAAAAGCCATCTACAATGCTAAACCATCACAACTTCTACTAGGTGAAAGGACTTCATCTTTACCAAATAATGTGTACATTTAAATGCTTATTTTATCATCAAACTAAACTCTCAAGACAACTCTCTATGACTTTAACTGTTGAGATGAGCAAATAAAAATCCACAAATTATACACAAAAGCAAGATCTCAGAGAATAACACCCAATTAAAAGAACATACAAAAAACCATACCCATGTGCTTGAATTGAATTGGCGAAAAAAATGTCCACAAGCAAACTAGTAAACTTGAAAGCCCAACTTTCCTTAAAATTTTTTATTCGTGAAGCACCAGTTCAAAAGATTTTTATATTTAGATAATAGCAAATTTATGGACCCTACAATTAATAATTCAACATGAAACTGAAACCCTTCAACTAACAAACAACCTTAAGGTATCAATGAAAGCCCAAAATGGGTATTAGTCTGTCTGTTAAGAGTAATAAAGAAGCAAAATCATTAAAAACAACACCTTCATAAACACTCTTGGATTCCAAGCCAAAAAAAAAAAAATGAAGAAGAAAGAAATTAAGCACAAATGCTTGTGAAAATGGACATACCGTACCCCATTAGATCTCAGAGAAGTGAATCCAAAGAAAAACCCAACAAACTGCAAGTAGAACTAATCATATCTTCCAATCTCTTGAGCTCAAAGTCTTCATCTGAAACTATAAGTGGCAATTGAAGCACGGGTGCAAGTACGGCTACGGGGAATGGGTACAATACAGGTACGTTGGTATGGTAAATTTTTTAAAAAGTAGGATACGGGTACGGCTAGGGTACGTCAAATTTTTTTTTTTTTTTAAGCTAAACATCCAACATACAAATCAAAATTTCAATATCAAAACTAAAAAGACAGCAACTTGTCTAAAATGTTATGTAATTCTTTATTTTTATTTTTATTTTTTGATTGTCTAAAACAGGATGCAAAAGAGAGCAAAATCATAACTCAAGAGTAAAGGGTGTTGGAAATAAATTATTTGATATTTTCAAGATTGAAAAAAGAATAATAAAGGCTATAATAAATTCTAGCAGTTGCAAAAAAAAAAAAAACTCACCGAACTACTGCCATACCCACGGCATACCCATGCCGTACCCACAATGTATCCAAATGTATTTGCCGTACCAGGCATGTATTCGGCATATCCGATACACGTATCACCATACCGATACACATATCTGCACCCAATAAATATCCAATACTCGTACGATACTATTTTTGAAGTACTGTGCTTCATAGACGGAGAAGCCAAAGCATACTACTCTTCAAGAACAGTCAGATGTGACCAAAAGGGTAGTTAGAAGTCTCAAAGAATCCAAAAAGTAGATGGGTTAAAAGGGAGAAGGATCGCTAACATGACCAATATATAGCTGTGAAGTATAATAAACAGAAGAAGAGAGGTGTTGACTGTAGAGAGGAAGGAAAAAAAAAAAAAAAGCCTTATTGAGAGAGGAAAAAATGATTGACTGGTGGTGATGATTGTATCCCTCTCTCACAAGAAGAAGAGCAGGGTTGGGAAACAGAGCTGCCAAGCCTCTGTTCATGTCCACTAACTAAAAAGGCATTCTTCCTGAGTCATGCTGCTGCTGTGTGTACTGTTCTCTCTCTCTCTCTCTCTCTCTCTCTCTAATTTTTTTTGGTTAATGACATTCAATTCTCGAGGTTTGAGAAAAAAAAACAGTTAGTTTACATTAATATATCTTTTAATATGATTAAAACGATTAAAATTAATATTGAAATAAATAAAAGTAAATATACGTTTTAGTGAAAAAAAAAATGACAACATTATCTTTTTATCTATACAACTCATGAATTATTAATAAAAGAGGACTTAAAGCATCGTGTGTGTGTACTAAAATCTAACTTGACCACACACGATCAATAAGATCTTCTCGTAAAAATTGGAGAACAAAGTTAATCTTCTAAATGAATTTGCTGATAATTTGCTAGACAAAGAACTGTTAGTGCTCCATCCAGCCTTTCCATATAGGCGCTCTGATACTAAAGTCAACAACTTTCTCTCTCTAGAATATTCAATAGCGTAAATACTAAAGCTAATAATGTGTACCTCAACCCATGGGGTGTGAGTGTCATGCCTCATCCTAGGCTTCATTTTCCATCTAGGACTCTACTTACTTAGCAAGTATTCCTTATCTAAAATTCTTCTTCCTAATTGAGTTAGGTTTAATCTCCTTAAGAGTCCCATTCTTACCCAAAATGTAAGATGAAGTGTATTTTCTTCAAACATGAGTGTATGAATCCATAAGTGTACGTGTATCCTTTTCTTATTAGGCGAAGGATTTGGATTCGGGGGTAATGTTAAGAGAGGTATATAAAATATGGGTACTTATGTATAAGTCTAATAAGTAGACTTATTGTCCAATAGGTCCTATGGAAAAAATTTGTCATAAAAAAAATCACTAATTGTAAGTTTTAGCTACAATTTATAAAAATCATGACAAAAAAAGTCACTAATTGTCAATTTTTAGCGACATATATAAAAAATTATCACGAAAAAATTATTTTTAACGACAATTTTATCAAGACTAATTTTCAATAGGATTTGATGGAAATTAAGTCCAACTATTAAGACCTATTGGTAGTTTACCGTATAAAATAGGAGCCCTTTCTAATCCAATGGTAATTAATTGCTCCTCGATCCTGACTCGTTTAGAAACATATTGTTTTAATAATATTTTAAAACCAAACTATTTAAGTAAGTAATTTTTTAGTAACTTCTCTAAAATATGCGCGTGGGTTGTAGTAGTTATAAATCAGGGCACCATCATAACCCCAAACTCTGGAAAAGGGTAGTCTTTGTTTTCTTTTTGTGTTTGTGTTATGCATGGAGTCGCTTGGATGGTTTGTTACAATCTCCCAAGATGGCCAGCTCAATCTACTTCATCCTTTTTCCCGAGTTCAAATTGGTCTTCCTCCTGTGACTACTTTAAAGTATTACGACCCTGATGGCCTAATAAGCAATTTGATTGGCATACAGAAGGCAGTCTTGTCTTCAAGTCCTTCTCCTTCTCACAAAGACAAAGACAACAACCACTTTGTAATCATGGTTATCTATGGTGTTGGATACCTGGGTTTTTGGAGAGTTGGAGATAAGACTTGGACCACAATTGAAGCACGCAATGGTGCCTTCTGTGATGTTACTTATTAGAATGGCAAATTTTATGGGGTCGATGCTTGTTGCCGTGTTTATGAATGTGATGTTGGTGGCTCTAATCCAACTGTGGCACGCTATGTTGGAGGAATACGAATACCTATTCAATTAGTTGTCTACAAGCGACCATACATAGTCGAATCTGCTGGGGGGGCGCTACTCATCGTCCTACGAGATGGATATGCATTGATGCTGATAAACTTGATCATGATGATGATGATTATGATAATTCCGGGACTTGTGAGTTTCTAGTATTTCGACACAATACAAGCAATGGGAGATGGGAAAAGATGAGGAGCTTAGAGGACAATCATTCTCTGTTTTTGGGTCACAGTGCTTCCATTTCTATTGAGGTCACCTCTAAATTCCCCGTCCCCCTATCTGGGTCATGCCATCTTTCTTCTGATCTGCACTATTACTACTACTATTCTACATTGATATTTATGTGTTTTTGCTTGGTTTTCTAAGTAGGGTAATTGTTTCTTGGAGAGTTGGTGGAACTATTTCTTCTTCAATTTATAACTACTGTCATTGTTTTGCTATCTTGCTTGATTGCGTGTAATTCTGTTCTTTATTCAATTGCTTCATTATTATTATTATTATTATTACTTTAAGTGAACTCTTGTTATAAATTAATACACCTTCAAAAGGATTGATTCGTGAGGCTTTTACATCTTATTCCATCTTATTCTCACTCTCTTATGCAGTCCTTTCATTTCTTTCTTTCTTTCTTTCTATGTTTACCTTAAATGATAGGGATGATAAATACTTCAATCTAACAAATCCACACGGAATTTGTTAGGATAATGGATACCCAGAATATAAATCACACACACAGAGAACACAAATTTTACATGGTTCTGCCCAATGCTTACGTCCACGGAGTAGAAAAGAGAATTTCACTAAACTTGAGCAAAATACAAAAACAGAGGAGATAAAATTCTCACTCAATTCACAGATTTCTCTCTCAATTTTCTGATGCAATGCATTCTCTTCATCCTGTCTCTATTTATACACAAAGACAGAGAGAGAGAGAGATACCAACCCACCAAAAATTTCTACCTTCTTTAATGGTGAGGGTGAGTGTCAACAATGGCAACAATGTGAAGAGAAGGAAGAGATGCCCAGCTTAGACCTCCTTCCCTTGGGGTGGAAGTCTTCCTACGCCATTCTTCCTTGACTCTCTCCTCTGCATGCATAGGGTTGGAGCTCACAATTCTCCCCCTCCATACCCACATGCATGACTGACTTCTCACTTGAAGTCCATTCCGGCAATGTCTCTGCAAATTTCGAGTTTGTCTCTCGAGATCACCTTTGTAAGCATGTCAGCTAGATTCTTATCTGTGTGGATCTTGACCAGTTCCAATAACTGCTTTTCCATCACTTCACGTATGCAATGATACCGAACATCAATGTGCTTTGTGCGAGAATGGTACATTGAATTCTTGCTTAGGTCTATGGCAATCTGGCTATCACTATGTACCGTGAACTTTTCTTGCTTTAGTCCCAACTCTTGGAAAAACCGCTTTAACCACAACATTTCTTTCCTAGCTTCTGTTGCTGTAATATATTCTGCTTCGATTGTGGATAAAGCAACACACTTCTACAGCTTGGACTGCCAAGATGTAGCTCCCCTTGCAAAAGTGAACATAAATCCTGATGTAGATTTCCTATCATTAAGATCGCATGCCATATCTGAATCAGTATAGCCTTCCATGACTGGTTTAGCTCCTCCAAAGCACAAACACATTTTAGATGTACCCTTAAGGTACCTCAGAATCCACTTGACTGCTTCTCAATGCTCTTTCTCGGGATTGGAAAGGAATCTGCTTACTATTTCAACAACATAAGCAATATCTGGTCAGGTGGACACCATTGCATACATCAAACTCCCTAAGGCGGATGAGTAGGGAATAGCCTCCATCTCTTCTCTTTCTTTTGTGGAGGAGGGACAAGAACTCTTGCTCAACTTAAAATGATTAGCCAGCGGAGTACTGACTGGCTTGGCATCTTTCATGTTGAACTTCTCAATCACCCGTTCAATGTATTTCTCCCGTAACAGCGACAACTTCTTGGCTTTCCTGTCACACACAATTTTCATGCCCAAAATTTGCTGTGCAGGGCCTAGGTTCTTCACGTCAAAGGACTGTGATAACTCATTCTTTAGTGATCTGATTGTTGTGGCATCCTGTCCAGCGATTAGCATATCATCAACATAGAGCAGGAGTATGATGAAGTTTCTATCGGGAAATTTCCTGACATAAACACACTGGTCTGCAGCAGTTCTCTTCTACTCATGACCCACCATGAATGAGTCAAACTTCTTGTACCATTGTCTCGGCGCTTGTTTGAGGTCGTAGAGACTCTTCTTCAATCTGCAGACTAAGTTTTCTTTCCCTTTGACTTCAAAACCTTCTAGCTGCTCCATGTAAATTTTTTCCTTCAGATCACCATGGAGAAATGTCGTCTTCACATCCATCTGTTCAAGTTCCAAATTCACTAGTCCCAAAACTACTCGAATGGATGTCATTTTCACAACTGGCGAGAAGATTTCATCAAAATCAATACCTTTCTTCTGTCCAAAACCTTTGACAACCAATCGGGCCTTACACTTGATTAGCTTTCTGCTGTCATCTTTCTTTAACTTGAACACCCATTTGTTCTTCAATGCTTTTCGACCCCGGGGAAGTTTCACCAAATCATAAGTCTGATTCTTCTGCAAGGACTGCATCTTCTCTTGCATAGCTTGCTGCCAGCTACTCTTCTCCTTATGATTCTGAACTTCTTGAAAACTTTCTGGCTCCCCCTCACACTACAACAAAATACACCTTTGGCGACAAAAACAAATTTAGTCGCCAAAAGTTTTGGAATTGGCGACTAAAACTTTTTTTTGGTTGCCAAAAGTAAAAAATTTAGCTACTAAATTTTTTTAGTCAGGATATATTGATTATTGGCGACTAAAAAATAATTTAGTCGCTAAAAATATTAGAATTGGGGCCAAAAAAAAATTTCGTCGCCGTATATTGAGTTTTGGCTACTAAAATATTTAGTTGCCGAATGTAAAATTAAAAATTTATTTTTTATTTTTTGGCGACCAAAAGTTTAGTCGCCAAAACATATTTTCAGCGACCAAAAATTAGTTTAGTCGCCGTATATTAGGTATTGGCTACTAAAATATTTAGTCGCCAAATGTAAACTTAAAAAAAAAAAAAAACTATCTTTGGCGACCAAAAGTTTAGTCGCCAAAACATATTTTCAGCGACCAAAACTTAGTTTAGTCACCAAAAAATAAAAAATTGGAGGGAGACATTTCTAATTTAAATTTGAGGGATTTATAAAAGTAATTGGCGACTAAAAAATTTAGTCGCTAATGGTGTAATATATATATAATTGGCGACCATTAGGTATTTTAGTCGTCAATTGTATAAAATGATATATATATATATATATATATTTTGTACCAAACCAAACCCTAAATAATCTGCGCCTCTCTCTCTCTCTCTCTCTATTTTCAGCGTCCCTCTCCCTCTCCCCCTCCCTCTCCGTCTCCGCTACTCCTGGATCTTTTTACATTCTAGAATCTAAGGTGGATGCAAACTTCAGTTTGTAGTCATCATGCATGGTTAAATATTGGTTTGCCAAGAGTATGATTACATAGTGCTTTTGGATCCTCTTATTCTGATAATTTTTCTTTTCTCGTCAGGGAGCAGTTCATCTCAAAGAGCTTAATCCACATTTCCTGCCTCTTCCAAAATATGTTTCTCAAATCTCACCTAGACCAAACTATGACTATTATTCGTCAACTATGCGCTTTACAATATCATCAGATAATTAAATAATATTTTTTTCAGAATTCATGTTTCATGAATTTTCGGATATCTGATCAAATGTTGCTCAGCCTGTGGTTTCTGTTATATTAATGATCATTTTTTTAGTTTTTGATAGGGCATTGTCTCTGATCTGAATTCTAGGTGGAGCCAAAACGCAGGAAGAGGTGACTGATCACGATGCTTGCTATGGAGGTACTCATTTTATTGTGTATTAGCTCTGCAGTATTGTTGTTGTGTTTGTGGAAATTGTACAGTGCAAAGAAGATACTGTGCTTGCACAAACCAGAGGTTTTCTTAATTTTCCATGTTGAACCAAATTATATATAAATGTTTGTTATTCGTGCGCTAAAAGGGGGAGGGGGGAAATGGCAGCTACTTGTTGAAGTGCGGAGTCGTTAAAACACATTAAAACTAAATTATTAAGAATCGAACTTGAATCTATTGTGATATGCTTATTGCTGGTTATATTCTGTATATGCAAATAGCATAGTAATTGTTTTACTCAGTCCCCACCCAAATTTTGTTTTGATTTTCCTCTTTTTGGAGGGAAAAGAAAGAAAGGGAGAGAAAAGAGAAAGAAGGGGTGGATTTCAAAACTTTGATGTGAATTATTGACTGCTACGTTGCATAGGGGATATGATAAGGCTGTGCAGTCTGCACTAGTAGATCAAGCCTTCGATGCATATTACAATTTAAAGAAGAAAATGTGGTTCTGATTTCTGATGATGCAATTTTATTCTACTTATGGGATTAGGCTTTTTGTCCGCACAATTAGCAAGTTTGTTCTATTTTTTTTGGTGGTTTTAGAATATTATGAGCAAGATTTTGTAGTTGAACTAATTGTTGATTTGACGAATTGAACTGCTCATTTTCGTTTGGTTTTTAGTCTCTGGTGATTTTATTCAGACCGACCACCACTCTATGCCACTGTTGGTATTGGCGCATTGCTACAACGGTATTACATTTGTTACATAGGGTGTAACACATAGGTAGGGCAAGTTCTCTAGATTGTGAAGTGTAGCCTCTGTTTTTGTTGTTCATTATCTACATATGATGCTTTACAAAATTGTATTCCAATTATTATTATTTTTAGACTGTCAACTGTTTATATATATTTTGAGATCTGGAAACTGTGCCGGAGGCAGAATTGCAGGCTGCATATAAGTTGGGACCAGTTTGCTAGAGGTTCAGTGGGTAGTGTGTATTTCCATGGTTAGAGAGACAGTGTATACTATTAGATAAACATATTAAGACAGTACAAAAAATGATATGGCTTTTATCATCTGTTAAAATTTTATTTTGCTTTTAGAAAAAATAAATCAATTGGCATTGTGTTTGGCCCAGTAAATTTTGTAAAATTTATGGTGGTAAAACAGACTAGCTATATAAGTCTTGTTAAAAGTAGAGTTTGCTATTCATTATAACAACATAAAGTTTTAAGTTTGGGATCTGGGTATGCCAACTTATTAGTTTTGACTATCTGCGTTATCTTATCTGTTGCTAGATCGTTACTGTAAATATATCATTGTTTGTCCCAAAATAATTATTGTGCATTATGTCCTAAGTGCTATTCCCTAATTCCTCTGTATCATGAATACTTTTTATTGTTTTCAAGCTAAGATACATCTTTCCATATGGTGTTGTTTTACTGCATGCTCTTTTTGTGGAAGTACTCTTTGAATTATTCTAGTTGCAAATGTAACCATTTGGAATCATTATTCGAACCAATATGGATTCTTTAACTTAAGTTGCTGCTAGTGCTAGAGAAAGGGAATGGATCTTTTTACATTCTAGAATCTAAGGTGGATGCAAACTTCAGTTTGTAGTCATCATGCATGGTTAAATATTGGTTTGCCAAGAGTATGATTACATAGTGCTTTTGGATCCTCTTATTCTGATAATTTTTTTTTTTCTCGTCAGGGAGCAGTTCATCTCAAAGAGCTTAATCCACATTTCCTGCCTCTTCCAAAATATGTTTCTCAAATCTCACCTGGACCAAACTATGACTATTATTCGTCAACTATGCGCTTTACAATATCATCACCTGTGGTATGTAAATCATATATGACTTATTCATTTTTAAGGTTGTTTCACGTACAATGTTATTTAATTTATAAATCTCCATTTGGTATTCATCAATAACTTGCTTTTTAGACTCTTGTCCAAGTTAGCATAATTAGTAATTTGAGTTCACCATAAAACTATACATAAAACTCCTATATTATGCAGGAAATGCTCTAAAAATATTATGCAGGAAATGCTCAAAATCATTGGGTAGTTTATGGGGATCTGTTATTGGATGATCCAAGCATGGGGCATTTAATGGATGATAATCTTTTTTTGTTAATTAAATACATGATAAGTTTGAATTTGTAAATATATATGGGTTCTGATATCAGCACTGCATTAGCTAACCTTCAGTCTTGAACTACTGTGTTACCAACATTTGCAGTGTGGTTTTTACCGCAATTGAGTTGGTTTTTTTATTCTTTAAATGCTATTTTCTTTTTTCTTATTTAATTTTTATTTCACTGTCTTTTAATTTTGACATAGTTAACTATCTTGATTATGCAGGCATGGCTCCTTGCTCTAGTTATTTTACCCGCAAGGTCAAATATGATGATATGTGTTGGATTAATCACCTACTTGGCTCTAGTATCTGTCTTAATCACCTAAATTAAATATACATATGGGTAAAATTTTTATACCTATGTTTTAATTCTTAAAGCATGTTCGAAACTGTCAATAGTTTCCCATAAGATTAACTCATTATGCACAATATACATATGGATTTATGCAAGAGAATGTAAATGGTGAAACTTATTGATTACTCAATATATTTTTTGAATGGTCATTACTCTGGTATGCCTTCTCATTTCTGCTCTATATAATTATTTTGTACTTAGTTTGAGAATAAAATGAGAAAAGTTGATCAGTGAATTGATGATGGATAAAAATTATGTATCTGTTTGTGCTATCTTTTGTTAGCAATTGTTTGTGATCTATGTTATTGATCTATATTAATTTATGTATGCAGCTTTCGGCTTTGCTTCAGTAATTGATTTAAGGGTTGGACTGCAGCTGGCTTCATCACTAGTTTTTATTTTATTTTATTTTATTTTACTTTTTATGTTTTTGGTGTTTTTGTTAGTTGGTTTCTTGCCAAATTAACAATTAGATATTAATTTTGTTTAATCTTCTGTTATGTATGGAATTATATTTTTGAGATTGGATTATACTTGATTTGTATAGAATTTTTTTTGGAAATATTAATTTGATGTTAAATATGATTTTTTTTTATGGTTGAAAGTGAAATGTGTGTGTGTTGTGGAATGGTTGCTAATTTTATCAGTATATAGATAATTTTATTTATAAAATAGAAAAAAACTTTGGCTACTAAATATTTAGTAGCTAAAATAAAAGAAGACTTTAGGCGACTAAGAATTTAGTAGCTAAAAAAAATAAAATGAAAAAAATAAAAAAATAAAAAGATGAAAAAAACCCTTTGGCGACTAAAACTTTGGTCGCCATAGATACTTCATGTTTTGGCGACCAAAGTTTTAGTAGTGGAAAATAATATTTTTGGTGACTAAAATTTTATTTTAGGCGACTAAAAATATTAGTCGCCATTTATAGGACTTTTGGCGACTAAAAAATATTTAGTCGCCAATACCTTCCCCGACAAGTTTTCCGCGACCAGTCTAGCGACCAAAATATTTAGTCGGGCAAAGCATTTGGCGACTAAAAATTTAGTCGCCAAATGTGCATTTTGTTGTAGCGTCATCAGTAAGCAAAATATACTCAAAAGCAGGATATTTTGACGACGGCTTAGACTCTCTTGTTGATCTTCGTAACTGTGGACCAACAGTCTCTGGTGGAGGGGGTTGTGGCTCCCCCTGCTCAACACCCTCTGCTTCTGGATCTTCTTCTTCTGTAAATCCATCATGCAACTCTACATCATTGGCTGCATGCTACAGTAGCTCTTCTTCATCAGTTGCATGTTGTGATGGTGCAGGATTCAGAATAATTTTTGAAACATCAACTTTGGGTTTGGCTGGTTACCCAAAGTCTTCTAAGGTCTGGCCTTCTTGAAACACCACATCTCGGCTTCGAATGACCTTCTTGTTTTTGGGATCCCACAATCTGTATCCAAATTCTTCATCTCCATAGCCAATAAAGATGCATGGAGTGATTTTATCATCCAGCTTCTGTCTGTGCTCCTTGGACCCATGTGCAAATGCTTTGCACCCAAACACTCTCATGTGAGAGTAAGAAATCTCCCTTCCAGACCATGCTTCTTCTGGAATTTAAAAATTCAGTGAAACGGATGGTGATCTGTTAATCAGATAGCAGGCAACACGAACAACTTCTCCCTAAAACGGCTTTGGCAGCTTTGCCATTTTGAGCATACATCTGACCTTCTCCACAATGGTCCGGTTAATTCTCTCGGCTACATCATTGTATTGTGGGGTTCTAGGAACAGTCTTCTCATGCCGAATGCTGCGAGTAGCACAGTAGGCTTCAAACTCCTTTGATATGTACTCGCCTCCATTGTTTGTTCAGAGACACTTTATCTTTTTTTCAGTCTCTCTTTCTACCATAACATGGAATTTTTGAAAATGCTGGAACACCTCAGCTTTGGTCTTTAGGACATAAACCTATACCTTCCGTGATGCATCATCAATAAACGTCAGGAAGTATTTTCTGCCACCCAAAGATTCCACTTCTATGGGACCGCATACATCAGAGTATACTCTGCTCAACAACTCTGATTGTTTTCTAAATGATGAGTGGAAAACGACTCTATGATGCTTCCCAAATAAGCAGTTGTCACAAGGATTCAATTTTGCATCTTTGGCAAAGGGAATAAGAGACTTCTTTGCCAGAATCTGCAACCATTTTTCACTCATGTGACCCAGCCTTTTGTGCCACAAATTTGGTGATGCCTCATCTTCTGTTGCGTTGAGGCTATCTGAATTCACCTCTACATGAGTCTTGTAAAATGTGCTAATTTCCTGTCCTCTGGCTACCACCAGAGATCCCTTTTTCAACTTCCATATGCCTTTGCCGATGTAGTTCTCATAGCCTTGTCGATCTAAGGCTATTCCTGAGATAAGATTTAGGCGTAAATCAAGAACATGACTGACATCTTTCAATACCATCGTGCACCCAACTTTAGTTTGGATGCGAACATCACCGATTCCCATAATCTTCGAAAAACTAGAGTTACTCATCTTCACTGTACCAAAATCTCCAGCTTGGTACGTACTAAAAAACTTCTTCCGAGATGTAACGTGGTAAGAAGCTGTTGTATTTACCACCCACTCGGTGTCGTTGTCTAACATATTGAGGCATTCTTCTTCTTCAACAGAGAATAATGCAATATCCTCTGAGATAGTAACTGCAGTGTTCCTATCTTCGGTCTTTGGCTGTCTATTGCCTTGTTTTTGTTCTCCCTTCAAGGCATAACAGTATATCTTTATGTGACCCTCTTGGCTACAATGGTAACACTTGAACCTTGGTCGGCTCGTACCTCCTTTGCACTTCCCTCTGTCGTTGTCTGACATATGGAGGCATTCTTCTTCTTCTTCAACAGAGAATAATGCAATATCCTCTGAGATAGTAACTGCAGTGTTCCTATCTTCAATCTTTGGCTATCTATTGCCTTGTTTTTGTTCTCCCTTCAAGGCATAACAGCATATCTTTATGTGACCCTCTTGGCTACAATGGTAACACTTGAACCTTGGCGGGCTCGTACCTCCTTTGCACTTCCCTCTGTCTTGAGATCTTCCTCTGCTACGTCTTTTACTTTTGCTTCTTCCGCTGTCTCTGCCTCTACCTTTATTTTCTGTGACGAGGGCATGGGATTGATCTCCACCCATGTCTTTCTTTCTTGCTTCATCGCTAAATAGAGCATATGTAACCATGTTCATGGTCAGTTTTCCTTCTGGTACAGAGTTGTTGAGGGACACCACCAACGTCTTCCAACTGTCTGGCAAAGAACTGAGCAGCAATAGAGCCTACATCTCATCATCTAACTTTATTTTGATAGTTGCCAGTTGGTTCACCAGATTTTGAAACTCACTGGTGTGTTTAGCAACAAAGATACCGCCTTTTAGCTTCAAATTTAGAAATCTTCTCATTAGGAGGGCTTTGTTCTGAGCAGTCTTTGACTGGTACATGCCTTCTAACTTCGTCCAGAGAGCATAGGCGTCAGTCTCCTGGGGAACATGGTGGAAGACACTGTGATCGATCCATTGTCTGATCTGGCCAATGGTTTTTCGATTCTTCCGCATCCAGTCTTCGTCAGTTTCCATTGCTGGTTTAATTCTATAAAGCTCAATAGGGTCAAACAAATCTTGGCAATACAAGACATCTTTCATTCTAAGCTTCCAAATTGCATAGTTAGAAGCATTTAGCTTATCATGGATCCCAAAGTCGACGTTGATTCATCCATCAACACTTTCCTTTATAGAAAATGATCTCTATCTGAAAAACAGGCTTCACTGTTGAGTCCAGATTGGTCAAATTAGACAAAAAAACACTTCGGATTGCCAAAATAAAGATTGCAAATTTTTTAAATCTGATTTTAAAAATATGAATGTACGGATGTGTTCGGAATATTTCAAATAATTGGAAAGCACTATTGGATTATCAAAAACGGACTCAAAATGGCTTAGATCAAGCCAAAACAGTTGGAACGACAGCTTGGTTAGCGGCGCAGTCAACGGCTCCGGCTCCGTCTTGGCTCAAATGACGTCAGTGGATGACGTTAGATCATCTGGTGTGCGTGTGTGTGGCACGTTCTTGCGCATGAGATCACGCATCTTTGTCATGGCCCGAACCCGCCCCTATGGTTTAAGGTCATAACCGGCCAGTAATCAAGGGATTACCTACGGCCTCAAACCAAAACAGAAGATATTCCATCAAAGTTAAGGGGCCAAACAGAAGCAAGCTTAAAAATTTTGTCCAATGAGCTATGCTTACATGGCATATCAAAACATTTCACATATACTTAATAATAACTCACACCACATATCAATAGTTAACATCTTGTATACCCAGGATCATTCAAATGCATAGTCAGCTAAACCAAAAGCTTATACACATAAACGGTCTACCATGACCAATAGAAATAGCAAAAGATCATAAACAAAGCCTCTTGCGTGAGGCACCTGGCTGACTTCACAAAACTCGGGTTCATTTCTTAAATTCCACTAAGGCTGGGGTTAAACGTCCTTTTGCTCACCTACATACATATAAATGAGAGTGAGCTAACGCCCAGTGAATAATATCAAAATAAAGAGGTTAAGAATGAGATTCGTTCATAAATGAATCATACTTATACTGTACACATTTGAACCACTATTCTCATTCACATTAGACTTACAAATCTCAACAAAGCAAAACGACATCGGGTCCAACACATCATATCCATATGCAAATGACCTCAGGTCCAATTCAAACATATCAAACGGCCTCGGGCCCAATTCGAATATATCAGGCGTATTAAACGGCCTCGGGCCCATTCTCTTTATATTCATATCCATGTGTATTTCATATTCATGATCATGATCCCTTTCATTCAAACGGCCTTTGACCCATCACGGTATTCAAACATATCAAATGACATATTCAAATGGCCTTTGGCCCATCTTTGCATTCATGTCTAACAGCCTTTGGCCCAATCGTTCATATCCGACAACCCTTGGCCCAATCATTTATGTCCAACGGCCTTTGGCCCAATCATTCATGTCCAACGGCCTTAGGCCCAATTCAGATATATCAAACATATCAATGGCAAACGGCAAATTGCAAATGGCAAACAGCCTTAGGCCCAATTCAAATATATCAAACATATCAACGGCAAACGGCAAATGACAAATGGCAAACGGCCTTAGGCCGAATTCAAATATATCAAACGTATCAAACGGCCTTGTACAAATTAGGCATATAAAATACTCATTCGTATTTCAAATCAACAAATCCATGGAGCTTATACAGGACTAGCATTTGGAAAGTAACATACTTGAAAATATCTTTACTAAGATATTACTCACAGTGATCTGCCGGTGGATTTGCTCTCATGCTCGACTCTACATATTTCATGAACATAATGGGTCACAAACGATTCAATCAATTCTTAACTTATGCATTCCTCTTAGGCCTCTTTATTATCTTCTTACATTTACAATGTTCAATGCATGCCTAAGAGTGCTCAGAAATAGAAGAGAACGGAAAATGAAACACAAAACATCTTTACAAACTTTCTAAAACAGGGCTCCCTGCT